CTGGCTTTGCGGCTGGTGCTGGTGCTTCTTTGGGCGGCTCTGTGCGCGGTGCTTCTGTAGGTTGGTTCCTGGCTTGGAGGGAGCCAATGGCGGAGTTCTGTCGTCCTAGACCGTTGATGGTTCGTCGCTCTGGAAGTAGAGGAGAAGGAGCTCTCTGCACGGGCGAGGGAATAATCGCTGGCTTTGGCTCGACAGGCGGTGTCTTCGCAGGTGCTTCGGCTGGGATCTTATCATCTGATAGCTCCTGCGGTACCAACGCGGCTGGTAGCGACGGCTTCACGGGGGAGAATACCACAGGTGATAGAGTGACGCCCTCAAGCAGGTCGACTTCGAGCTCCACTGGCCCTTTCGGTTCTTGAGCCGGCAAAGGAGGTGGTGGTACCGATATGACTGCATCTTGCTTGTGTGACCGGTCATGATTGCTGGGCAATGTGTCGTTATTTGGGGCCTCGAGAACTTCCAACGGTTCTGCGGTCCGTTCAGAGGTTTCAGGGGCACTTTCTCGAACTGGTTCGACCACTGCCTGCTTTTTAGAGGATTTGGTCCCTTCGCGCTGATCTACAATGTGTAATTGCGGAGGTGGAGGGAACTCAGGCTGCTGAGCAGTCTTGGTCGCAGAGTTCCTGCGCGAGGAAGTTCTGTCGGAGGGCTTAACAGTAGCTGCAAACGCTGGCCCCTCGGTGTCCTGTCGTGGTGCAGGCTCTTGAATAGGAGGTCCAGTCCTCGGTCCTAGACCGCGGAACATAGCCGCGTCGTCCAATCTAAAGCCAATGACCTCGCGACTCTTCACGCTCTTCTTCGAGAGTCTTGCTAGCCGCGGACCTGCTGGTACCTGGGGCATTTCTTCACTGCGTCGCCTCTTCTTCCGTGGCTGCCGAACTTCATCCGCTTCGGCAAGGTCGCTGTCAAGCGCTAGCTCCACGGGTCTATCTTCCCTAGAGCGGCGCCGTCGTTGAGCAGCACGTTTCGGGTTACGGCGTGAAGTTGAAGTGTCGCCTGTGTCACTATCAAAGACAGCCACTTCTTCTTCCACCTCCCGAGTCTTCTTGGATTTTCTGGTCTTTCGAGGTTTCTCCTTGGGAGCTTCTGCCTCTACTGGCTCTCCGAAGTCAATATTGACGGTAGCAGGGCTTGCGGCCGTTGATTGCTGACGAAGTCTCTTTCGAGGTCCAACCGGTAATGATACGTCTTCTTCATCTTCATCGTCATCAAGGATTGCCTTCGGGCGGTTCTTCGGACGTTTTGACGTCTTTGATTTCTTAGGCGCGGCGCGTAGGGGAACATCGTCTTCTGATTCATCGTCGATAACTCTGCCGACTTGAACATTTCCATCTTTGTCTGTGGTGGTGTTTCTCGTAAGCGGGGCAGTCTGTTCTTCAAGTTTCCTGACCCGTGATGGTCGCAAGTTGGGTCGAGGAGGTGAAGAGGCAAAAGGATCGTCCTCTAAGCCCTGTTCGTTAACTGGAGGTCTCTTCGACGTAGTCTGGGCTTGGGGAAGTGAAGGCTGATTAGTTTCCCGCCGCGCAATTGCGACAGGCTCTGCCATCATCAGCAAGCCACGCTTCTTCCGTGGCTTGATACGAAGTTCAGTTCTGGCTTCTTCCGATTTCTGCAGAGGAACGTTCGGTTGCTTCTTGGCTGCAGAGTCATGAAGAAGACGTGTCTGTCCAGCAACCTCGACAATGGCAGGCGTGGCTTTCTTTGGTTCAGGTTGTTCTCGATCGATCACTTTAGATTTGGTTGTAATCCTCGATTGACCAACCCTGCGTGGTTCGCTATCCGAAACCTCCTGTGAAATCTCCGTCTCGATTCTTGATTTTCTCTTCTTCTGCTTCTCTGTACTGGTGTGCTCTGCGGCCCGCCTCAAAGGCCTTGCAGGTTGAGCCGGCTGTCTCACAATCTCAGTCTCGACATTGCGATGTACATCGTTATCTTCCGCTTCGTCATCCTCTACCAGGACAACCTCTTGTCGCACACGATCAGGGCGTGAACTCGCCAATTTCTGTGGGCGTTTATCCTGATGGTTCGTAGCAAAAGAGAAGTCCTCTATAACTGACGGTGGTTCGCGTTGTTTATTCCAATCATTTGGCTTAACAGGAGCTTGCTCGGTCTCCTTTCGTTTCTCTCGTGAGTTAAAATGGCGGGAAGACTTTGGTTGCTCCCGAAGGGGGACTTGCTCCTGAGAAGGCTCTCGACTCTCCACTTCGACAGATAGGCTCCTGTCGGGGAAAGCTCGAGGGCGGACAGGCGCTGAGCTCATAGGTGTAGCACTCAGAGTCAGGGTGGCACCGAACAAAGCCTGAGCATAGCCGCTCTTGCTTGGGACGTCGTCATACTTCCGTCGCTTCACAGCTCGAGGGTTCTGCTCATCAGGGGGGTTGTTTGGGCTGTGCCTCTGCTCGTACGGAGATTCAGTTGGCGCCAATGCTCGGCCATGATGTCCTGTTGGAGTTCCAATGAGTTGGTGAAGCGGGCGATGCCGCACCTGGATATGGTCAGGCTGCGGTATACGGGGAGTTGGTCGTGCCGACAGTGATGCGTTGGTACGGGCCACAGCCTTCAGTTGACGTTCCTCCTTCTCCTTCGCTCTCTTGTCGATGAGCTCGGACAGGTCTTGTTCCCTGCGGCCCACGCATTCTGCGACCTGGACCATGACGCCACCCCGTTCAAGCTGGATTTCTTCGCCTTCGGCAAAGTCGTGGTCGAGGCGCCAATGCATGTCTCCGATGAAGTTGCCCCGCTCATCGTACACCATGACACGCTTGTTGAAGGTGTGGAACTTGAGGCGGCCATCTTGCCAGCGCTTCTGCTTCCGGCGAAGATCATGCGTGAAGAGGCATACGAACTCGAGGACGGCAGCGCTGGATGGGGGACTATTTGGGCCCGCCGCCCCCGATGCTGCAATCGAAGAGGCGAACGAGGGCATTGTTACCGTATGGTGGGAGCCATATGAGGAGTTACACGGCGTTGTGTTGTGTGAATACAAAGTTGCCTCGGAGGTAGCCCTACAAAGAAAAGGAAGGTTTGGGACGACGCGTAGCATCCCCGACCTAACGCGACTGTGATTTACGCAGTCAGCTGATCAGGTGTTCTTTAACTTAGTGGGTAGGCGGGGTTGACTTTCTTGTCTCAGCAGCTCCGGTTAGCGGCCCGGAACGGTTGAACCCCTCTGTCCCCCCTGTGGCGGGGTCCTGTGGCGTGCATTTTAAGGGGAGTCTCGCCTAATAGCCACGCTGCCAGCGAGCCGTTTAGTGGTCGAAGCTCCCATCTTGGAACCTCGATCCCTGTTTCGTGCCAGATCTGTTGGCTGCCAGGCCCCAGAAACCCAGAAATCCCATTGCTTGCCTGGGCTGTGCCTCTCGAAAAGACGTTGGATCTACAGCGTCAGCCAGGATTTGCATCTACAGCGTCATCGCCAGAGTATAAATAGCTAGAGGAACATCATCCGCTCCCTCCTCTATGTGACATCCATCAGATAGGTATATGCGAAGTGTGTGTATGTGTGTCTTTTCTGCCTGCACAATTCAATCCTTTCAATTACGACTGCTGGCCACAGTGTTCCAAGTTGGCCCCTAAATCAAGCTTCTACATACATAGTAGGTAGAGTACAGCATCTTTATTTCCAGACCGCCTTTGCGATCCACTTACCCAGACTACCTGGCAACACCCTTCTGTCCTCAACAGCATCCTTCACCACAGTGAAGCTTGTCTTTTGCACATATTCACGACAGCTCTCATTGTACACTGCTGGATTGATATATTCTCCTACTGCTGCAGCCAAATTATCTTACTTCAGCTGCGTTGTGAGGAGGACGCGAGCCAGGCACTACTTCCCCTGACATCATTCTCGGAAATACGACTTTCCAACGCGGGGGAACTTGAGACCTTGGAAGAACAGCAACCACGAGAACCGCACACGCCGCCTTCACCATGCAGTCCATGCAAAGGCAGTTTGGGAAATTGATGAACAGAGGCCCTGGTGACAATGCCAAGGTTTCTGTTCTCCTCAATGACTACGAGGATGCCGACCGGCTGCTAGCACGGGTGAGCCGTCTCATTCTCTCTCCCCCTCTAGACCTAACTGTTGACTGACTTCTTCAATATTAGATTACTGAAAGCGCAAAGGCATGGAGAGATTCTTGGGTATCTATACTGTCAGCACAGCTCGAGGTTGTCACTGTCTACGAAAGCCTATACGACCCCATCGTCGGCGCATATGATGGTCATGGCGCACCGTTGACTCCTACATCCGAGCTTCAATTAACCCGCACGTTCAAGTTGAAGGAGGCCTATTCAGACCTGAAAGCCGAGCTTATCGAAGACATTGGCACCATTGACGACAGAATCATTCGACCCGCTACCGATGCCCGAGATGCGATTGCTCCTATCCGCAAGACGATCAAGAAGAGAGAAAACAAGAGGCTGGATTACGAAAAGGTTCAAGATAGGGTCGCCAAGATGCATCGGAAGCCGAATAAAACAGCCAAGGAAGATGCAGCACTGGCAAAGGCAGAAGATGAACTGGCAAATCTAACTGAGGTATGCCCGATGCTCGTAACGGCTTGAGATGCTTTCCACTGACACTTTTGCACCAGGAATTTCAAATAGCTGACGATCACCTCCGGGAGACGCTACCACCAATAATCTCAGCGTCTTTCAGTCTCATATCTCCACTGCTCACGGCCCACGTTTTGATGCAGAACCACTTTCTTGGGCTATACTATACCATATTGAACAATTATTGCAATGAGCAAGGCTTTCCATCACCGCCTCCTCCCATGGAAGACGTGATCGCCCAGTGGGCCGAGGATTTCAAACCCATACAGCGGCAAGCTGAATCTATAAGCTGCGTTGCCCGTGGCAAGGCGATTCACCAGCCTATGAAGCTGGGAGACGACGGCCAGGGCCGCAAGCCTTCTGCCTCATTTGGAGCTCCACAAGGTGCAAAAGATGGTTTCCGACGGACTTCATCAGGGCTCATCCCTAGCTCAAACGGCGCTAGTACAGGCAGACCGATGCGAATACCATCTTCCAACTCGATACCGCCGATGGGATCTGCGACATCACCAGCTGCGTCCGACTATTCTCCCCAGCCTAGTCCAAGAATACCCCCAAGCCCAGGCGTCAAGAGCCCCAACTATTCTGGTCTACTACGTCCTACAGATTTCACGACAGCAACTAATTTGGGCCAGTCGTCGGGAGCTTCGCCAAGCTCAGCCCGGATTGGTAGTAACGACTACTTCAGCTCTCGGGATCGTCCATCGACGGCGTCCACCGTTGCGTCGAGCGTGTCACAAGGTGCGACCCCGGCTTACCCTAACGGCATTGGCAAGAAGAAGCCGCCGCCGCCTCCGCCGCCGAAGCGCATACCTAGCACAAGACCGGACGAGTACGTCGTTGCACTGTACGATTTCGTGGGGCAGGGAGCTGGAGATTTGTCGTTTAGTGAAGGGGACATGATCAAGATCGTCAAGAAAACAAACACCGACCAGGACTGGTGGGTCGGCGAGCTTGCTGGCGTCAGGGGAAACTTTCCAGCGAATTACTGTAAGGCAACCTAGCCGTGGTGCGACGGGACATGCACGACAGCATGGGATTGCAAGGCAAGGCAAGGCAAGGCAAGGCACATGAAGCCCAAAGCAGCAACGAGCATAAGCCTCTGGAAGACAGCGTGTCTGCTAGCAGCCAAGCGTTGATTAGGGCTCGCGCGTAGTCGGAACGGCTTGTCTGAAAGAGCATTGGGGGAGTTATGTAGGCTGCCTTGATCGGATCGGGATCTTCCTCAGAAAGACTCGAAAGTCATGTTCACATAATGTCTGAACCATTGCGTCCGAACTCTACGTGTAACCGCCGCTCCAGAGTTCAGGTGAAAAGCCGTGGCGGTTGGCTTTTCCGAACCCAACAGCGGTCAATCAGACCAAGTCGAAGGAAGCAATGGGGGTCGGTTACCCCTCATTGTGGAATATGACTCGTTTGGTCGCCCTGGCGAATAAGTGAAGGGAATTGCAGCCCAAAGGCCAACCAACTTGAACCAAGTCTGCGGGGCCAACAAGCAAGCAGGCGGCAGGGGGATTGTCGGGTTTGGTCATGGGAGGAGAATCAAATAAAAAACGGGCATTTCTCCCGATTTCAATTCTTCTCTAATTTCCCCGGTTGCTCGCCCGACTCATATGTGTAAAAACGGCATCCCAATGCATCATCACCACTCTCGCAACGATCATCCATCAGGTCCAGGACTCCTATGATTACCTAGTCTGCACCAGTCCTACGATGGATCGTCGGCCACTCTTCGGACACGTGCTACCCGGATCCAGCGCATCATCCCTCATCAGCGCCATGCCTGCCTGCCTGCCACGGATAGTTACATTATGTGACCGTGTCAATCTTTGAGAGACCGTGCCGAGGAGTGGAACAAACTGTACATACAAAACCTGTCAGTTTGAGGGAGGGACGCGGTGGGGGCCGTTTGGGTCTCTCTTCTCATGTCCCTCCCAGACTCCATTTCGCGCTCCTTCTCTGGCCAGTAAGTAGACCAGTGGTCAAGAGCGTACGTAGTCCCCAAAAGGCCTCGAACAGACTCGTCATCTCGCGAAATTGATTCTCGTTCAAAGTTGGACTGTTTTAGCTTCGGTTGTTTGCAGATTGTTAGCAAAGAGCCCGGTTGGCTTTTTTTTCTCTGTTGCAGCCAGTGACGTTACGGCGCAAGTGCGACTGAGGGACTGAGTGGCAGCTCTCTCAAACAGCACTTACAGATAGTGGGCTGTGGACCGCCTCCAGTAGGCGAAGTCTGCCTTACGGACCTCACATTAACTTCTTGCTCCCCCCTTGCGGAATAGACTTTTCTGACTCTTCCTCAAATTCCACAATACCTGCTTCTTGATTCTGGATATATCATCACCTTCAAGCGTTTTGAGTCGAACCGAGCTGTCGCTCTGTTGGAGACGCTCTTCATTCTTAACGACAGACTTACAGCGGGGATAGCTTCGGTTGCCTCACACGGGACGAGGCTCGCTGGCGCCCCAACAGTCCGCCAACACCACGGCACAATCATATTGTCCTTTGTCACAGCACACAATGGCAAACAGAAGATACGATTCTCAGCCGCCGACCGACTCTTCACCTCCTAACACACTTCAATGCGACGCCCACGGCCGGATAATACCAACTCACGAACTGCAAGATCTCTACAATAACTGGCGCGAAGCCGAACAACAACTCAAATTTGAGAATGAGCTTCGTCTTCGGGACGGGCAAGGCAACCTCGAACCGAACGACTTATTATTGAGACCTGGTTCACCGTCTGCGGCCTCAACTTCCTGTGCAAGTGCCGTGTCGATTACCCATGGCCTTGGCAATGTCGGACTGAATGACAACGCAGTCTCAGAGAATGGTACGAGTAGGAGGACGGCGAAACGGCACGGCCCGCTGCACAAGAACACCAAGGCTAGAGCCGCTCTTGTACGCAAGCTAGGCTCTTGCCCAATCTGTAAAAGTCGGAAGGTCAAGGTGAGCCGCACTGACGGACTCGAGTTGCGTAAAGACTATGCTAATGATTCTCAAGTGTTGTCACCATGACTTGAGCTTATTCCAAGCCGCTTATGAGGCGTCGCGCAACCGGCGACAGCCTTCGATCCAACCTCGACCACCTCAGCTCACCGTCCCAACCTCATCTTACACACACGGCCCTCACCAGCCAATATCCCCCACCACTGTTCCCGGCCCCGCAAACGAGAGTGACTTGCTGCGTGGTATCGGCGGCGACATTGCGAGATTCCCTGGACCGAGTGCTGGGAGCTCAGATGACCTCGAAGATATCCTGCGCCTTTCACCAGGCGGTGGAACATCCCCCGTCCAGACTCGACCTCCACAAGCATCTCCATTTGTTCCCTATAATAGCTTGATGGGCATGCCAAGGTCGACCAATGCGGGCTTCCAAATGGGCATGGCTTCTCCGCCTCAGCCTATGTATGAAGACCGGATCGTCGCAATCGGTCGACAACGAGTGCAGACAACGGTCGGCTGGGAGTGTCAAGGTTATCGCTCGAGCTCCTCTCGGGCATCGCTATCCAGCATTGTTAGTGAGACCTGTCTAGACTGTTTCGGCACGCTCGATGAGTTGCAGTTTCATTACCAGTGGAATCACGCAAGCTTCCGCGATCCTTCCTTCCTGTACAAGTGCCTGCACTGTGACTTCATCAACAATATCCGGGAGACATGCCCGCAGTGTGCCAATACAAACGTCCAATGGGAGCTGTGGTATTACGGGTATGTTGGCGGTAGCACCCACTCATCGGTGCCGTACACGCCCATCGCTGTCGGCCAGGACAAGCCCGCATCCACACCCTACTCTGGCGAGCAGGGATTCTCTGGTGGATACAACAACAATTATACCACGGGCGGCTCCTCGTTCTATCAATCTGGCTGGTATGGCAATGGCAACGGCAATGGCAGTGGAAGCGGCAGTGCGGGCCATAATCAATACGCCTTCGACCAACACACCAAGGACGACTACGGCACAATGGCTTGCAACGATGTGGTAGTCGAAACTCTGTACATGGTGTGCCACCTCCAAGACAGACTGCCGGGTTCAAGTCCCATGTTCCAGCGCCGATTGCCCGGGCTCTCAATCACTGGTGTTGTCGTTTGCATGCTCCCCTTCCTGCTCGTCTGCATCATCTTGTACACCGCGGTCCTCCAAGGCTGTTCCACGTCGGACTGCATCGGCATCGCTTGCGGTCGGATGGCGGCGAGAGTCTTGCAGATCCTCCGCGCCCACATCTCAGCCGTCTCGATCATCTGTGTTCTTGTCGGCCTCATCGCCATGTGGCTTTACAAGCACATCATGTTTCGTATGCGCCGTAGTCGGTCACTATCGGTAAGTCCTAGCCTTCGCCTGCGCCTCGAGATTGATAACTAAAAGAGACTAACAACCACACTTAGCTTTCTGGACACTACCGCTTTGGCGACATTCTCAGACTCCGCATCGACCCTGGCAGAGACTATCATGCCAGCAGACGAGAGGCCGACGTCGAGCTCTGCCGTCAGACACAGCGCATGATGTCGATATAATTGATGATGATCATTCCCCTTGTACGGCCGGCGTTCTCAACTGTCTCTCAACTTCTCATCGACCTTAAATTTTTTTAATTTTTTTTGGATTGCGACTGGTGTTAGGGGTAGCATTCCGGGACCAGGGACCATCTTGGATGATGTGTGCATGACTTTTTCTAATACTGTTTCTATTTCCTAGCCATGATAGTAACAGCACATGGCAGATGCTCTGCTGCTATATAGCTATAGTTTAGTTTGGAGCATGATGATATTATGTGGCCTGTGAACGAGGGCGTCGTTCAAGGCAGACCAGCGGCGAAATGATCACCAGGCAGGCAGGGTACACAACAGCAGGGGATGGATGGACGGATGGATGGATTAGCCATCCACCGGGGGCCAGTCTTAATGAACTTCTTTGACGAAATTGAAGTCGAAATATTGAACAGACAAGAATGTCTCCTTTTGACGGCTTCACAGCCCAGTGATGGTGATGCCCTGTACATGCCCTTCCATTCATTCCATCTCACAAGCTCCGCCTCCGCCCAAACGGCGCGGATGCGCGCAGTGAGTGGGTGGGATGGGGGACCCCTGGCGTGTCCCGCCCGCCCTCTTCAGCAGGCCGCCGCCCCCCCGCGCTACCTACACCCAGATACACACACTCTCGAGACACTGATCTGATGGATCTCTGGGCCCGCTGGCTCCCTCCTCCACTTTGGCGCCACAGGTTTGGGGCTGGGCTGCTCAACCTCACGATCCGCCGGCGATCTAGTGTTTTCGCTAGACTGACCTCATCGGTGGTTCAGAAGCGAAATTCCTTTTTTTTTTTTTTTTTCCCTCTCTCTTTTCAGATGTCGTGCAATTGAGGGGATGGGGCATGAGATGGCTTCCTACACGAGTTGTACAAGGACGTGCGTATATTGGATTGATCTGTCATATCGTGTGTAACTACCTGGCCACCTATCTACCGACCTTTGTCTCGGATGACTCTGAGGCTCAGAGGCGCCGGTCAATTGAGTTGCGGTGGACCCCAGATTGGGGTATATGTGAGGGGAGGGCGAAACAATCACGAAGAGTCATACTTGCATGAGGCGGCTGCGATAATCAGCCGTGTGTAAGAGAGAAGAGAGAGGTGTGTGAGGGGAGGGAGGGTGATGCGAGTCTGCGAGTCTGCGCGCGAGGGGTATGAATGGCATGGTACGGTGCTGGATTGGATTGCATTGCATCGGATTGGCAGCCTGTCTGGTCCTCCTGTCTTGACGACCTTCCTCAATTGCAACGATACGGTTGACTCATCGTCTGCCGCCAGAGCAAAAGAGAGTTCGAATTGGAATGGGGGAGGACAAGAGTCTAAGACTGGCCAATCACATTAGAGCGAGGCCAAATGGCGAGTGAGATACTGCGCATGTGCCAAAAGTCACTAATAAGACGACGACGACGACGGCGATTTGAGAGAAGAGCGGAATTGGGTTGGGCTAAGACTCGATCTATCTCAGGCGTCGAGTCTAGCTACTGTAAGTCTGAATGGGCAGGATCTCGGTCCGCTCCAGCGTGCGGGCCATTCGAGCCTTGACCCTTGGAAGCGGTTGTGGTTGTAGTTTCGTGTTTGGCCATCGGCTCGATGAATGGGATGGGATCATCTCCATCTTGTGGGTGATACTGCCAGAGAGTCGCTCGCCGAAAACCCTCTGATGCAACCTGCAAGACGGGCATTTGGCAGCCAATGGGCTGTGAGACGAGGGCCCCACTGGGAAATGCGGCTACAGCGAGGGAGCCACAATTCTGTTAACAAGAGACTTCAAGGACTCTTCACTTTGGTCCCTTTTTGCCGAAGAAAGCGAAGTATCAGTCTATGTGACCGTAATAGCGGGTCGTGTACTGGCGCCAGGGTGAGGGTGACTCGACGCTATGCCTGATTAGTCTCGCCGTGAAGTTCATCAAATGCAGAGGCTGTGCCCTGTCCAAGGCTTAGTTTTAGTCTCGGTTTTGGTGCCAGCTTTGCTCGTCTGCACCACCCGCAATAGCAGCGCGCTGGTTAGAGTAGTAGGATTTTGTGAGGATATCAAGACTGGATGACTCCCGCCCGGACTCCAGCTTTGCCTCCCTCCCTTCCTCTTCTCTTTTCTCCGTTCAACTAAACGAAAAGAAAAAAACAAGAGAGAAAGAATTAGAGAGCTTTTGCGAAAAGCGAAGCCTCCGTCCCGTCACCTCAAGTGATATCTTGCTCAGGCAGCAGTTTGCGGAAGTAGACGAGAGTTTCCCCCACCATCACCTCTCGTGGACTCTCTCTGCCTGCTCTCCCCCCCTCCCTTCTACTGCCGCTTATTCCACTTCCTTTGCGCCCATCAAAGACGCTTGTTCTGTCAGCAACGGCTCCCTCCAGCTGCTTGCCAACAGCGCCTTGAACGGCCAAACCAACAGAAATCGACAAATCAATTCAATTCAGATTATCTCGAAATCCAGGCATTCATACCAAGCCTGTGGACACCAAACTTCTAGAAGAAATCCGGATCAACACCTCGCCTTAGAAGCCAGGCGTTTGATCCCGCTGCCTGTCCCCGTGATAGCCCCCTTTTCATTCACCACGTTCCCCGTCACGTATTGTGATCAATTCAATCCAATGGCGGGCATGTCTCGAAACAACTCTACCAGCTCTATCCAGGGCTTCTCCGTCTTCCAGAATTCTCTCGGTGCCCCTCTTCAGTTCCTCCCGGCCCTTGGCACCAAGCAGCTAGACGACATGATCGATGCCTACGTCGCTGGCTCTGCTTCTATCCAGGAGAAGCGAGCTCAGGTGTCCATGGACTTCTTTGAGTATGCTCAGCAGACCGGCGAGACCTTCAAGTACTACCCTGTCTTCTCAGCCGCTTTCGGCTCCACCACAGACTCTCCTGCGAGCTCTGCGATGCAAGACTCCGGATACGGCTCTGCCTTCAACGTCTCCCCAGTCATGTCTGACCTGGCATGGAGCCAGTCCACCGCATTCACATCTCCTGAGCAGTCCTTCAACTCTTTCACGCCATCCCAGCAGAAGCAGACCGCCTCGCGGAAAGCCTCCAACTCAACCGCCAAGGCTCAGACCACCGACTTCTCTCACCTCCCAGGCATGAAGATCATGACCAAGGACGGACAGGATGTCACCAACTCTGCGTCCCGAGGCTGCAAGACCAAGGAGCAGCGAGACCATGCACACCTCATGCGCATTCTCAAGGCCTGCGATGCTTGCAAGAAGAAGAAGATACGGTGCGATCCCAGCCACCGCAAGGCCGCCAGGACAGCATCCCAGGCTTCAGTCCAGACCGAGGCAAAGCCGGCGAAGAAGGTGAAGAAGTCTGCTTCACAATCGCCTCCAGCGGTCAGTCCTGAGGTAGCTCTCGCGGGCGCTTCTTTTCAGATGGCTCCCGCTCCAGCAGCCCCAGTTGAAGACTTCTCAGGCTTCGCTCAAGAACCCTGGGATCAGTTCCTGCAGTACGATGAGGAGGCTACCGCTGCCATTCCTGATGACTACGACTTCTTCTTTGACCCAGCGGGCTACTTCTCACCGAGCTCCGGCTCTTCCACAAGCTCGATCCAGCCCTTCACTCCTGCGGTCACTGCGCCCTCTGCCGGCCTCTTCAACGACAACTATGTCCTGCCTGTTGCCGACAGCCAGGAGCCGATTCTCCCATACCTCAATCCAGGAGGCCATGGCAGCAACTACGTCGACTTCAACCTGTACTCGCCTGCTTCTAGCTTCATTGATGAGGAGCCTCAGCCTCTCCAGAAGAAGTCCGATGGCACTCTTGTTGACCAGCAATCAAGGTCGCAAGGAGTATTGAAGTCACAGACCCGTGGCCAAGATGTTGCTGCTACTTCCTCATCCACACAAGCAAGCGGTACTTCGACCTCTCAAGCCCGATTCACTGGCGAATTCTACGACCAGAACTGGTCATTTGATCTGAAGAGCCAATCGTCGACCTTCGATCCAACTGATCCAGGGCAGGGAGTTCCTGGTACCCAATCCTTAGAAACCGGCGGACGCTCATCTTCTTCTGGCCTCTCACGCCGCCTCCAGACTTCGAGCGCCAACCAGCTAAGCGCGATTGCTTCAACAACCAGCCCGCAACACACATCTCTTGCGAACACAGCCTCTGACGACTTTGCCCAGTTTATTGACTTTACCTATGTCAGTGACGGCGCAAGCAGCAGCGGCAGCCCGACTTCCACCCGGTCATCCATGATTTCACAGGGAGTTAGTCCAACCGTATGCTCTAATCTCTCTTTGCCACATGTTCGTATACTAACTATGGACAAGGAATCTACAAGCATCTCCCCATCAGCCCAGACCAGCTTAGTGTCTTCACCGGCCGAGAGCCTGCACAGCGGCTATAATCCAAGGAGGAGGCCCGACACAATTCACAGGCTAAAGACCTCCGCCTCTACTCTCGTTGTGGATGACAATCACTCTGACCGCTCCGATGCTCAAGATGTTCTTCAGGTACAACCTGGTGGCTCCACCAGCGCCGTACCCGATGAGCATCACGATGAGTTCAATCGCAAGAGAGATGCGATACAGCGTGCCGTCTCTGCTCAAGGATTATCTACTGGCTCTACCGTCACTACTGACGCTGGCCGTGATGTCCTTGATGAATATGCTGAGAATCACCGCATACGCCGTCGTGGCGGTGCTGCTGTTCTCCGCGGTATCGAGTCACGCCTGTCATCCATATCCTCAGGAGTAACCCAAGTTTCTGGAACAGTGACAGCCACTGCCTCCAAGAACATGTCTCTTGTCGCTAGCCTCTCACAAGGCTTCTCGACCCGTCACTTGACGGAGTCTTCTGATGTGTACTCCGACGGGCTCTCTTATGCGACATCCTCACCACAGCAGGCCGTGCTTTCATCAGTAGTTGCTAGGGCGACTTCTGTCACTGCTCTGCATCAAGGTGCGGCCGTCGACCAATCTACATCTTCACGCCTACCCGAAGGACTCCCTTCACAAGGCGGCGTGGAGTACCCGACCAACGCTTTGGTCAACTTGCTTGTAGCGGCCTTGCTGCTCTTCACCCTTCCGGTGCGACAAATTCTCGCTGGGTTCTCGCACAGCTTCGGAAAGTCTTCCGTGCTGTCTTCCCCGTTATCTCACCTTGTCGTCTTCGGACTCGCCTCTCTCGCTTTGGCGTTCACTCTGCAATCGCACCTCCTCGTCAATCTCTCCGGCCAGCATAGCTTGCCATGGATCATCCTGTCTCTCGCCCCATTCGCGCTACAACATGACAAACCCCATACCCCCTCGGCACATACCTCCTCGGAGGCTCTGTCGAGAGAACTGTCGCCGGCCATCGCGCCTCCGACAATGTTAAGTCCAAGATTCGTGGCATAAAGCCAACGATTTCTTACCTTACAAATTTGAAGGGTACTTTGGGTCAATCGTGTTTCGTTTGTGTATTCACTTGGGATGAGAAAAGAACTGGTCACGGCACGGCCTGCAACGGATTGAGATGATTTGGCGAAGCGATTTGCATTTTGTGATACCCCATATTGACTTCGAGAGAATGAGGCGATATTCATCCTCGTTTGCATGTGTTCTATAGGAGTGTCTCCCGCCTCGAAGAGGGAGGAGACGTGAAATGGTTGGTGCTATCGGAGAGGATGAGCAAGCTTCGAGCTTCATGGTCAATGGCATTCTGCTTAGGTAGATGTAGTGGCAGACATAGCTTCCGAGTCTTCCACTCTCAATACATGAAACTTGTTAGCGGTAATCTTTTGAGGTCCATCTTGCAATGTGAAGCGCAGTGACATGTCTTGGGCGAGTGAATAGACTGTCTCTTCATCTGAAATACCGACCCTCCCCACCTCTCTGAGACGCGGTGTAGCCGTTTGTAAGACCGGCGATCGTATGCGTTGTCACTCGATGATAGATTCAATTATCGAGGCCACCGCTATATCGAAGCCTATTCATTCCAAGGGTCGGCAAACGCTGGTACTTTCGACCCAGCCATGCATCTAGAGGGGATTATCCACCGGTAAGACCAAGCTAGTTCAAGGCTATGCAGCTAAACTAGCTCCCGTCACTTGCAGAATTCAACACGACCGACCGAACGGGCGAATCTCAAAAGACGCTGCACCCTTTTCCTTCGCGACCTCCTTTGTGTGACTCTTCATCTCTCTGGGTCTTGACTTGACATGATGCTTTCGATTCACTTGCTTCTGCTTGCTCTGCCTTGACAATAAGACTTTCATGGAGCTTCTACAGGCTGTCGAGCGCGCTGCCGATTTTTTTAAGTGAAAGAGGCGAGTCATCGAGGTGGGCAGGGCATGAGACTCACAAAGGGGCCGCACGACCACAATTGCATGTTTTCTCTTGTTTGAAGCCGGGAAAGTGAAAGGAGAGGGAAGTTGCGACAGAGATTGTGAGACAGGTACAGAATCTGGGAGTGTCACCCATTTGGTCTGCAAACAAGTCAGTCGTGACTGCCTTTATAGTCAGCCAGTCTAGGCAGTGGGTGAAGTGGGCTCCAAAGGGGAAGGAGAGAAGTGAAAGAAAGGGACTGGGGGGGTGGGGAGCCAAAAAGTCACGATGGCGCAGGAGTCGTCCTCCTCCTCCAGGGAGGGCCGACCCGGTCGCTTACTCGGCGCCTTCCTCGACTCGCTCCTGCTCCTGCTCACCACACTGCTACATCCCGCCATCGCCCTCTTCGCCGCCATGACGCGCAAGAAACGTCACCAGAACACGGCCGCGCCCCGGAGAGGAGACGATCCCGAGAAGGTGAACCTGAATAATAACAGCAGCGCCAACGCCAACACCCGCACAAGTCAGTCTGCGACAGCTGCGCCAGCTACAACAACATCGTCGTCTACTGCCGCGCACGAACACAACAACATGAATGGCCACGCGACTACCGCCGTCAGCAATAGTACTGCTGGCGAGGGCGCAGGAGCAGGTGACGCCGCCGTGTTGAAGAAGGAGAATATCGCGCCGGCGCGGGAAACGTCAGTCCTGGATGAGCAAATCATCCAGGGCATAGCGGGCCTCAACGTCAGCACCGGGGAGAACTGCAAGCAGCAAAACGGCCAGGCTGCCGCCTCGCTGTCTACGAAACCGTCGTCCATCGTCGATGAGAATGAGGATCCCGTTAAGGCGGAACAGAGGCGGATTCATCAGGGATTCATGAATGATGCCCTTGATATGGTTAGTTCACCTTTCGGTCACTCTTCTCTCAGTTCTCCCTGGACCCCATATTCTGCTTTTCTTTAGCATTGTTTGCATAAGAATGGGTTTACTCTGCTTTCAAAATTGCAGGCGGATTTGTCAGGCCTTGATCTATTTCCCTATTTCTTCTTGCTCCTCTTGAAGCTATGCGCTGTCCAGCAAATACTAATACATAGCAGGCACGGCTCGCCCTGAAAACCAATGAGACGCCTGTGGGTTGTGTCCTGGTTTACGACGGAAGAGTGGTTGCCAAGGGCATGAATGCAACCAATATCACGCGTAATGGCACGAGACATGCTGAATTGATGGCCATCTGCGCTCTAACGTCCTACACTAAGGAGAAGGATCTGGAGAAGCCGGAAAAGAAGGGCGGCAAGAACAGGAAGAGTGGAAAAACTTCGCGGAGGGAAAAGGAGAAGCCTGAACCTGTTTGGGGCGACGTCGACCCGAAGGATGGACATCTCTATCCTTATGGGCAGAAACTCCACCCAGCTCCGCGAGTTGACGGGTCTATTGTCAGCCAATGCACTCTCTACGTCACAGTTGAGCCATGTGTCATGTGTGCATCGTTGCTGCGCCAGTACGGAATCAAGAAGGTGTATTTCGGCGCGGTGAATGACAAGTTTGGTGGTACTGGCGGTGTATTCAACATCCATATGAATGCCGGTACCACGGATGCGCCTCAAGACCCTTCACTTCGTCCTTCAGCGAACAAACTTCGACCACCGCTCACACGTTTGCCCGGATCCGCCAATGGGTCAACAAACAGTGTTGACAAAAGCTCGACAGGTGGAGAGGGCACAGAGCCCGTCGTTGACGAGATACCGACGCCTCGAGTCGCTATACCGATGCGAATCGGGGATGGTGGAAACGTCGAACCTGGGTATGAAGTTGAAGGAGGATGGGGTCGAGACGAGGCCGTTAATCTTCTGAGACAGTTTTACGTCCAGGAGAACGGAAGAGGTACGCTCCAGAACGTTATGCTAACATTATTCTATGGAAATGCTAACTAACAATTGCCAGCCCCTGTTCCAAGAAAGAAGGAGGGTCGCGCCGCTCGACTTGCAGCGATGATGGAGAAAGAAGGCATGTCGGTCGAAGGCACGAGTCTACTAGAGGATGGAGCGTCGGGCAATGCCACACCCGGAGCGGAAGATGAACCAGTCGCTGCGACTACAAACGGCAATACTGAGGAGAAGAAGAATGGTACGGAGACCAACGGAGACGCACCTAATGAAGTGACCGAGCCCGTTACTCTAGCCTCAACCTCAGATGCAAAGGCGTGAGCCTGAGTGTCATTGGACACAAATCGGACTTGATGTCTCTACAGTGACATTGTGTTCCGAGGGCTCAAATCCAGACTCGACGTTTTGTTACCGTACAGGAATCTTAACTTTCAGTGGCATTTCCGAACCTGACACTGGCTCTTACGTGATCATATTCTTACAAGGACTGATCTCATTCACCCAGAACTTCAGGGGCTCATGTTCCGAAACTGAGACGAAGGGGAAGGCTTCTATTGCTGATCACATGAACAGGGGAAAACTTGCTAAAGCAATATCCCTCCCGAACTGATGTACATTAGATATGTTTGCCTCACGGCATTCCGTCAGCAAGGCAGCCAGGTCCATTGGAGATTGGGCTTTTGTTGTTACCATAAAACAGACAGAAGTGATTCTCCTACTATTATGCGATTTATCACGGCTTTCAATGAGTATAGATCAGGCAGACCTGGATTTCGCGCTGGAAGGGTAGGATTCGTAAAACTCCTTGCTTATTCTGCCATTTTTGCAGAGACTTAATTCAGGGAATACACGATGATGAGACAGACCCTTGTATCATACAGGCGATGAACGACAACATAAAATAAGCAGATCGACATACGCACATAAGAATACGAAATTGTCAGGCGGAAGGCTTCGGCCAAATCATGAAGACAGGACCTGCCCAGAGGTGTATGGCTTGCAGTTGGATGAAGGATTCCGCGTTCATCGTCTTCTAATTTTTGCCTTGCTTTTATACACTATTGCTAGTACTGCCTTTGCTGCTTTCCTGCTTCGTAAGTATGGGCTAAACCTGACCTGCCGACGTCCTCTGTTCCCCTCGCTGGGATAATTCTGTGGCCACTGTCATATATAGCATTGTTTGTCACTGTCTGGTTCAAGTGGGCAGAGACTGGGTAATGAATCTACGGGTTGTCATACGTCTTGCTCTGATGAGTGCCTGAACAGACTCATCAGCAGTACTATTATTACTTTTCGTGGCCTATAGAAGTTCTTATACGTGTAAATGTAAACCTTTGCTGGGAACTAAGCTCCTAGAACGAGACAATAACTATATGATTGGTGATATGTTATTCCTTATATCTGAGTATGATTTTTTGGCAGCTCTAAAAAAAAGACTAAGCTAACACCATGCTCGATGGTAGGTTGGGATTCCATATTTAGACCCTTAATCATCACTCCTGACGGCTGTGCCACTGTGGCTGGCCAGATGCCGACGTCTCCTGCACCGGGCGAGTATCCTGGCCCGAGTTGATCTCAGCGGGGGGTTGCGGGTTTGGCGGGGGATTTTGCTGATGTTACTGTTGCTGTTGCTGAGATGGCTGCATCGGTGCCCCTTGATTTGGGTAGAAATATCCTTGCTGTTGCATTGGAGCCTGGTGTTGCTGCTGCGGGTTGACATTCTGATAATACCCGCCTTGCTGCCCCGGACTCGCCATAGGGGTATAGAATTGTTCTTGTGGCGATGTTGGTCCGGCAAATCCCTGAAGCGCACCCCCTTGCCCCTGGTGTGAGGGCACGCCGTACTGTTGCGGGTAGGCATGCTGCTGGCTCTCTTCTGGAATCGCCGACGGGTAGCCCGGTGTGTAGCCGTGCCCGTTGGCGACCAACGGCTGTCCGCTCTGCGAGCTGATCTCGCTGATTGTCCCGCCGCCGGTGCTCGTGCCTGTCGATTGGGGAGCAAGAGGCGAAGGCGACTGCGGCTGCCCCTGGTTCGTGGCGGTGCTGGAGCGATTGTCGTACACGGGAACAAAATACCCTGGCGGCTGCATCCCGTTCGGAGGTGGGCCGTAGCCCATCGGCGGTTGCATTCCACCACTTGACATCGGGGTCACGGACGTCGGTGATTGTTGGGTCATGGATGGCTGGCCCTGTTGACCTTGGGCATACGTCTGCCCAGCAGCGGGCGCAGGCCCCTGAGGCGTTTTGTTCTTGTTGCGCTTCCGCCTCAGGCATAGCCAGATTGCGATCAAGAAGAGTGAGATGACGGCAATCCCGCCTCCTACAGCGATGCCCGCAACGGCTCCGGTGGAGAGCTTTTTGCCGCCCGAGGAGACCTCGTACTGCATTGCCCAGACGATGTTGATGACTGCCGAGGTTGGCTTTGTCGTGTCGGTTGGCTGCCCGGCCAGTCCGGCTGTCAAGGTCGGCGCCTCCGTCTCGGTGTTGAGAGAGCTCCAGCAGGGGGTTTGACCACCGACGGCGCGCGTAAAGGGGTAGTAGCCACTGGATTGGACAGTCAGTACCAATATAAGGATAAGAAGTAAAGACATCAATATTCAATGGGAGGAACACAGACTTTGGGCAACAACCCCCTGAATATGAGATGTAATCGTCCGCGCAACGCTTCAGCACTGCCTGGTCCGAGTCCGCAGGTTGAGGGTAGGCAACATCATTAGTATTCCCGGTCGGTGATGCGCCATTGCCAGTGGTGGTCGCGGGTGCATTGCCATGAGGATCATTGCCTCCAGGTCCGCTATTGGCAACTGTCCATGGACAACACTCGGGCCGGTCACTGACGCAGCCGACAAACCCGGCCCAGTACACTGTGCTGCCCTCGTCAACGAGCGTAAAGTCGGCTGTGCTGCAGTCGCCGGCCAGCAGTGAGCCGGTGCCTTTGTAGATTGGTTGGTCGACGTGGCTGGTTGGAGTGATGGACCCGGTGGCTGTCACGATCGTAACAGTACTTGAACCCAATGTTAGTATAGTGGCATAGAGGGCATTGATCTTTGAGAACCTACGCGAACTCGAGGGAAACAGATGTCCTGTTCTGCGGTTAGCTTTGCTCATATTATATATGGGAGATGATGCTGCTCACGGAGGAGGAATCTTTGCCTGGACGCTGGCGGGTATCGAGCCGCACTCCGAGATGAACCACGATCTCTCAAAGTCCGCCCAATAACCTATGATACATTAGACAAGCAATGTCGTGGATACCCGTGACGGCCATCTTACTTGATGAGGTATCATAGCCATAGCAACCAGACTTGCTCAGATCCGAGAACACACAGTCAACGTAGTCAAAGCCATACCGACAGGCGCACGACTGGGTAGCAGAGATGTCCGTCGCTGATAGCAATGCACTCGTAAAGCATTTCAAGTAGCCATTGTCGCAGCTGTAAAACCCTTGGACGCAGCTCGCGCCGTAGCCGTAGGTGTACGATGACAAGTCATAGGTATAGCCGTAGCCAAAGTCTGTTGTCTGGCGCGGTGCAATGGCTGCCGCAACGGGCGCTGGCAGCGTTGGTGGCGGCGTGAGCGCTGGAGCGGCGACCATGACTGGCGACGATGAACGAAATCACAAAGAGGAATTAAAATGGGTAGATCGAGAGCTTGACAGAGCTTCGTTGCAAGCTCAGTATCCTAGAGAGGACTGGAAAGTAAGAGAAGACGCGAGGAGATCACCTACCTCCCCCAACTCTTCACCGGCCTCGTCTGGCATAGGACGATCAGGCCAGGAGCTTAGAGCCTTGTCGATATTCATTATGCCTGTCAGTCTGCAATATTGTGTGCCAATTCATTCCCGTGCTGCAGCCTTCAAGATGCAGAGCCCAATGGAAATTGCCCGCGGGGCTGTTCTTGCATGAGGTGGCGCACAGCTGAAAGAAGGACTGGCAGTTGAGCAAAGACACGGTCCATAATCTGGACGTGGCTTGGGGGCTGAAGTGATCGTCCACTTGGAGATTGCAACAATAAGACGGCCTAACAATACGCCAGGCTCGAGATAAAGAGGGGACGATGGAACGGATTGTAAACCTCAAGTAGGCAGTTCCCATTTGGCGTTGTCAAAATGCAAATGGCGTTGATGGATGTCAGCCTTGCTGACTGACAGCCTCTCATTGCCAGGACTCTTTGAATGATTCGTGGAGACGGTCTGCTGTTGGCCATGGCATCCTCAGCTTGGCAGTCGGCATCTGGGACAACAAGCCCGTTATCCAAGTGTCCACCAATTTCGCAGTCTCAACATCGAAGACTGCGATTGGAGTCTTGCATCGAGTCCATTTCAAGTTGAACCCCACGAAACCGAGGCTCTTTAAACGCGGCCTTGGCGAAACGAGCTAGCGCAAGCTCTGCAGGCACTTGACGTTGTAGAGTCGGCAGAAGTGTCATGATCGGGATGGAAAGCTGGGCGGCGGGAAAGCCGATGCCATGGGCATGGGCATGGGCACCGAGCCGTTCCAATCCCAGAGTCGGGTATCAGGAGATAGCCTCCAATGCAAGCCGCTGATCCGCAAGGACGCAAAGAACCAGGACATTAGACAAGCATCGGGAAGCTCATGTTTGGGCTAGTAATGTGTTAGTCTTATTCTCCATCGATGCAGCGATCAGCCTTCTCCGGTTAAATGGGGGTAAATTGGAAGCCCGTTCCGTTTTCCATCTCGGCGGAACTGCCTCTCCACGACGAATCCCTTCTTGAGGTGATCATGAGCCCGTTCGTCGTTCGAGTGAGGGGAATTGGTATATATCCGCTGTCCGTCCGTACGATTCCTCCAGCTATTCATTCATGTAGCCATCTAAAATCCTGACGTCGTGAACAGCTTCAACAACGCGAGTCAGCAAGGACATCAAGAAGACCCTGAGACCGCCTACCCCACAGCGATCAGAAGCTACCCCGCAGCGCTCCTCACCCCACTTCACCCCCCCTATCTGTTGCGGCTTGGAGCTCACCACCGCCACCATGGCGCCCCTCATCACCAACATCTACACGGCCGACCCGTCCGCACACGTCTTTGAGGGAAAGGTGTACATCTACCCGTCGCACGACCGCGAGACGGACATCAAGTTCAACGACAATGGCGACCAGTACGACATGGCCGACTACCATGTCTTCAGCACCGAGTCGCTGGACCCTGCCGCCCCGGTGACAGACCATGGCGTTGTGCTGCGCATGGAGGACGTCCCCTGGGTGTCCAAGCAGCTGTGGGCACCCGACGCGGCCTTCAAGGACGGTAAATACTATCTGGTCTTTCCCGCCCGTGATAAGAAGGGCATCTTCCGCATCGGCGTGGCCGTTGGAGATCGACCCGAAGGGCCTTTCAAGCCGGACGACGACTATATCCAGGGGTCGTACTCAATCGACCCTGCCGTGCTAGTCGACGATGACAACGAGGCATACCTCTACTTCGGCGGTCTGTGGGGAGGCCAGCTACAATGCTACCAGCAAGGCAACGACATCTTCGATGCCTCATGGACGGGTCCCAAGGAGCCGAGCGGCGAGGGCGTCTATGCTCTGGGCCCACGCGTGGCCAAGCTGTCGGCGGACATGCACTCGCTCGCCTCGGAGGTGCAGGAGATTGCGATCCTGGACCCGGACACGGGCGCCAAGATCCTGGCTGACGACCACGACCGCCGCTTCTTCGAGGCGGCGTGGTGCCATAAGCGCAACGGGTTGTACTACTTCAGCTACTCGACTGGCGATACGCACTACCTCTGCTACGCGACAGGGACGAGCCCTACCGGCCCTTTCACGTATGGCGGACGCATCCTCGAGCCTGTGCTGGGGTGGACAACGCACCACTCCATTGTCGAATTTCAAGGTCGCTGGTGGCTCTTCCACCATGACTGTGAGCTAAGCAAGGGTGTCGACCACTTGCGGTCAGTGAAGGTCAAAGAGATCTTTTACGACAAGGACGGTAAGATTGTGCCCGAGAAGCCTAAATAAGTGAGGGTTGAGATGGCTCGGATATCAGGGGTAGGGATTTACGAGTGGCACTTCAAGACGGGTGCAATAGAAAGTTTCAGTGGCTAGCGATGTAAGATGTTAGTGATAGTAGAGATAATGGCGGCAACACACAGATACTGCCCAACACGTGTTTCAAGCACGAGAATTCCGTTTTCTTTTGTCCACTTTTTAATGACTGTCTAACCGCCGCCTCGGTTTTCTAGTCGGCAAGCTGATTTCCTCGATGTACCCAGAGCCATAAATCCCTAGACGGGCAGTTAACCGCTACTGAGTTTTCTTTCCCCTGTGTCTAGACTCAATCGTGTCAAAATCCTCGTCTATGCAAAAAGAATCAGCTTTCAACAATTCAGTTCTGAATACTATTCCTGATTTATATAACTAAAAGATTTGTCAAGTGTATAAGAATGATGCTTTTTGCCAAGGTAACCATGTTCTCGGTAAACCGCATACGAAATTTGTCTGATGTATGTCTTTAAATGATAATCTAGAAAAGGATATATTGACCCAAAATGTTCCCTTTCAATGGGTTCCAGATTCTCAAAGACTAGAAAGACAGCAACCACCTCAATACGCAAGCCCAAGGGCACTCATGACGCCCGCTTTGACCATCAATACTATCACGTCAGAAGCCGAACCAGACGCTATGGAAGGTCAACTCTCTTTGACGGACGATTCTTTTAATGATCCTAGTTTCGACTGGTTTACGTGGTTTAACCAGGAGGCCTCTTAGCCTCCAGTGAACCAACGTTCTTCGAACTTGATATCCAATTTGTTTGCTAGCAGGAAAGGACACTGTTAGAATCAATCCTAGTTCACAGCTTGACACGTATATACCCATTTAAGTTGCTTATTTAAGACCGAGATGTAGTCAGGGAAACACGTCGGTAAAAGGCCCTTCTATTTGTGTCGAGAAAATGAGGGTGAAGCACAACTTTCAGAGAAGTCTGTTCAGAAGTTCCGCGTCTGAGTGGATGCTCCGCCCAAATTACGGGCTCTGGTGCTCGACGCATATATACAGGCTCGGCCGCATCTTCGCATCCACTCGCAATCGTTGACTGTCCGGGATATGGTCTCCATACAATCCGCAAATGACCTTGCTCCCAGGAACCCTCCCTCCTGCTGTAGTTCGAAGAGCGATTGCCCGTATCTGCCCGATTAGCCGCTAGCTCAACATCCAAGGCACACATCACCAGTCCTCTACGCTCCCTCAACTTCTTCCCGCCGTCCCATCCGCCCTCAATATGAGGACTCAACTCGTCATCTTCCAGACGTGGTCCTCCATATCCTCCCTATCCTCTTTCACACACGCCTCCAAATCCTCCGCCACCGCGGGCCCATGCGTCGTCGCCGCCCAGAAATGAATCGTATTCAGCCAGGCTACCAGCGTCGGGAGGTTGGCGCCCGCTTCGTTGACGTGGTTGCCGCGCGCCAGCCGCGCAGCCACGAATCTGTGCGTGGAGCCAGACGCAGCGCGGCCGTCGGCCCTGCTGTCGGCAGCCTCTTTGTCCTCGCCGTGGCGAGCGTCGTTTCGGACACGACTGCGGCTGCGGCGGCAGGATGTGGAGGGCGGGCGGGCGTGGCTGGATGGCTGGCCTGGGTTGCGGCGTTGGACGGAGGAGGGGGCTGAAGAGTTTGTGACGTCGCTGGCGGCGCTTGGGAGGTTCGAGAATGTACGAGCAGACATGTCGTACCTGCTAGAGCCACTGTCACCTTGATCATCGAAAAGGTTGCGTTTGGGGACAGGAATAGAAACAGGGTCCGTCTCGTCGCCGTCGAGGCAGAAGCTCCATATCTCAAACTCGCGCGGCGTGAGTAATGCGGCGAAGATGTAGATGGCGGCCTTCTTCAACTTGCCGTTCCCATCCTTCCGGTCGGCGTAGGTCCGTAGCGCAAGACGGTCCCGAAGGCCGCGGATCACGCCTGCCTGAAGGTCATGGTGGCGTGCGGCGCCGGCTGTATCGAGGTTTGTAGAGTCGTCATGTAGGACGACGACGAGGTAAGGATAGAGCATGCTCTGGTCGGGATGCGTATAGTCAGCTATGGCGTGCTTGATGTTCTGTGGCATGTCTCCGGCATGTAGCCAGAATGTAACTGCTGGAGCGATGGGGTCTGGCGGCGATGGTTGCGAAGAGACCTTCTTATCCTGACCGGGACGAGAAGCGGCGGCAGTGGCATCTTTAGCGTTGAATGCGGCCACGAAGGTGGATGAGCGACGGCATACGAGACGCCAGCCTTGTGTCTCGTCGCGGCTGGCATGGAGGGGGTTACCACGCAGGAGATACCGCAGAGCGTTCATCTCGAACCACAAACTTCCAGCTTTGAGTACAATAAGGGTGGCATTCTCGCTCTTGAACCATCAACTCGTGTTTAGTGAACGATATGATAATGATTTCCATGTATAACGAGTCTTTAGTTACACAGTATGTAATAAATGGTTGCAGATTATCAGTCTATTGGGGGTATATACTGCGCTCATTACGTCCTTCCATCATTGCCCCGATTCCACAACACCAAGCTTGAGACCTTTCAAAGCAGCCTCATACTTCGGCGGCGCATGGTCCGTCAACATGCTCGTGCCAAACCTCACCTCCCGGAAGCGAGCCTCGACATCCTTGACATACTTCAGCACGATCCGCTTCGCCGGACGGCCGAGGTGGTCCTCCGCCGAGCGCATGAACGCGTCCCGCCGCAGCACGCTCGTCGTCTCGACCACGAACACCTCGCCCGGCGGCATGAGCTTCTCGCTCATCATGCTGGCGCGCAGCGTCTTGTACGCGGCGAAGGCCCATTGCTCGTCCTTGTCCGGCGATGACTTTGCCGATGGCGAGTTGTACCATTTGTCTGCGAGGGCTGCCTGGAACGCTGTCCATACTCGCTGGCGGGTCTCTTGCTTGGCGGCGTCGTTGTCTGACTTGAAGGCGAGCGCTACTGCCTGGAAGTCATGGAGCACGCCGAGCGACAGGAAAGGAACGAGGTCGTTCCCCTGAATGACGCTGGTGATCAATCCTCGGGTGGCTTTGCGGAGAGTGGCTGACATTGTGGCTGGAGGTCCGTAGGCATAGACATGAATTGGTCGCCCTGGGGGTAGACTGATTTGAGAATCCGTCTCCGATTGCCTCCCGTCCGACAAAAGCGGAGCGTGAGGCTCGTCGGATGTCACGAAATTGGGAGTGTCTAGGGCAGGCTCAGAGAGCATCACGCCCAGTAGAGCAGCTACAGAGCCGCCTAGCGAATGACCAGTGAGCACAAGCCCGTATTCAGGATTCTCTTCGAGGGCTGCTTTGATAGTGACCAGAACTCGGCTGCTTCCACCATATAGTAGACGTCGTGCTGACGCATGTACCCCCTTGTGGACCTTGTAGGATTTCCCTCGCCATATGAGATCATCATAATCGCAAGTCATATCCGTAAGGACGTCTTCGAACCCCCAAGTGCCCCGACAGGTCAGAACCACGGCTTTCGACTCATCGTCAAGGGAAACAAAGTGGAGGAGAGGCATTCCGGTATCAGTAGACCCAGTGGAGCCGCTTCCGCCCTGAGGGTCGGCAAATGACGCAAGGAGGATACTGTGAGTCTCTAATTCGGTATGGTGAGCAAATGATCGCACTTCGTGGTGGGTATCGTCTAAAGTTTTCAGCGTGGGCATTGCTTTGGATATACCCATGAATCTAAGGAAGCTGGAACCATAAGATGCTGAAGAGAAGAGAATGTATCGTGTTATGTTTCGGATGAGATGTGAATTGGGAAACATTCCTTCAAGTGTTCCAGTTTTTCGCAGTGTGTTGAGTGCCTCTGCATCGTTGAAGGCAGACCGCTGGTAGTAAGGCACTATTGAATATTGCGAGTCGTTGGTCTTGAGTGTATAGATACTTGGGGAATAGGCATGCGATAATGCTCGTCGATGATTTTTCAGCGGTGATGGAGGCTTTTTTTCTTGAATGTCCCTCTCTGACCTAGACTTGGTCATCGAACTTTGGGCCCGAACCTCTGCTCTGAGGTACGTTGGTGAAACAGGGCGTTGGGTCTCGACAGAATGTATTGAGTAGGTATCAGTCTGCGAGACGATAGAATCTCGCCGTCTTTCATGTATAGACAAATAGCTAGCCCTCGACGGGCTTCGAGGAAATGGCCCGCCAGGTTCATACTCTGCAAGAGTTCTGGCTGTCAAGTAATTGGGTGGGTTCCCCTGAGGGCGCCTCGGCGCCTCACGCTTTGGTACCAGAGAAGAGTCTCGGATAGGGGCTGCCAACTGAGCTCTAGCCGTGGAGGTCTTTGTTTGATGAACTTGGGGAACGTTGCGACTATTAGTAGGACTTGTTGCGCCACCCGAGGATTCTTTTCGCTTGCCTTGTGCTAGCGTTGGCAACGAGCTACTGCTATCTTTGTGCACAAAGCTCGAAAAGGCCGGACCTGCGCCTTTCCTCAAAGCATTTCTGAACCCTCCCTTCTTGTCAGCTGGCTTGGAAGAAGGCGTGGTCTCCGTTTTTGCCTTCTTAGGCAGTAGCTTCGTCATGGATTGTTGGCGCTTGCGGGGACTATCGATACTGCTTGATGACGATGGGGACGAAAGAGGCAATCGTGGTCGCTTTTGGTTTGCTGAGTTCTCTGGGTTGGCCTTAGGAAGTGGGATGTGGGAAGGAATCGGAGTATCTGATCGGGGCGATGATGGGCCTGGCAGAGGGATATCGGCATCATCTCGGCTGAGCGTATTGGATCCCCTTGTTCCAGCGCGTTCCAGCTGCTCAAGGGACGACACTCCATGGAGCGTTGTAGCTGACTTGGGTGGGAGAGGGGGAGGAAGCTCTTCCAAGTCATCGTCCAGAACCGCCACATCAGCATCAACGGCTGTGTCTTCATCAGTGTCATCGATTTGCTCGACAAATCGAGGGACATCTTGGTCCTCAGGGCCCCGTTCAACATCAGTACTCCTTAGACTGTTCTTGTTGATGCGATAGACGACCCGATATACCGGGAGGGGGGTTGCATCCGTGCCTAGAGCTGAGGAGGCTTGACCGGGTCGTTGATCTGGCGATTTAAGTTCAGTCTGCTCTACAAGCTCTACTCCGGGTGGAGGAAGTAGACGCCGTGGCTGGGTCCCTGCGACATCAACGGTGATAGTTTTGGTGATAGAAGTCTCAGTCGATATGGAGACCTTTGCGTCGGCTGGGAGTGTCTGCATAAGCTGACGCTTCAGTCGAATCTCGGGCAGTCCATCGTCGTCTTCCGGGTCATCGATGATACCGTGGCGTTGTATCATCCCAACCACGTTGCTCGAGGTGACTGAGCTGTGCATGCCGTCCTCGGACTGATAGGCTCCGCTATGAACACCGTACAGACTGTCTTCATGAACATCAACTCTTTGACCGTCGCTCAAGACAACAACATCCCAGATGACCTCTTCAACGCCGAGTCGACGGTTCTCCTCCTCGATGAGTCTCCAAGCCCAACCTTGTATAAGTGCCAATCCAGTCAGACCCAAGAGCAGATCGACGACACCAACCTTCTCCCCCGGCTGACCAGTGGCGGGGTTGTTGAACTCGCGGCGTATCAGGGTGATAATGCTCGCAATAGCTCTCGAGGACTCGGTGGAGCCGAGGAACGAGTCGAGGAAGTTCAAGGTCAGCCGTGACATGTCGGTGATATGGTACAGCGCATCTTCGGTCAGTCGGAAACCGGTCGAGGTCCAGAAGACGACCTGGGTCATGGTATAGTGGAGGTTCTCCAAACTGCGTTCCAAGACAGTCTCTGCATCCTGCCTGGCCAAGTCTGAGTTCGACCTCGCAATTACATCTCTGCCTGCGCGGCTTATAATACCCTCGAGTATGCTTCGGCCGACCTCGAGACTGGACAGAGTCGTGACTTTCGCGGCGCCGAATCCGAAACCTCCGATGGCAGTACCGACCTTGAGAGCGAAGCCGGTGGATCGGGTTGCTAGACTAACTGCCTGTGCTATCGGATTTGGCAAAAGAGTGCGACCTGGAGCCGGAATGATGAGCTCTCCATTCTTGGCTTCTAAGTCATCCGGCAAAGTCTTTTCGTCCTGCTTGTCGAGCTCCATCTTGAGTGACGGAGCACGGAACGCGGAGACAGATGTCCGGTTGTACCACCTCGTTACTTGGAGGCGTTGGGAATTCAAGCTGTCTTCTTCGAGATACTGGCATCGTACAACGATTTAGTGTTGCTGAAAGAAACGCGCATGTGAGGGAGTGGCAAAAACGGTCAAATCACCAGGATTTCATCTTCTTAACAAACAAAGAAGGCTATAATTTAAGAATATGTATTGCCTTATACTGTACTGCATTAAATGCTAGAGAGATACAATCAGGAACGACGCGCGGTTCGCGTGTCTGTCTGTCACTTGACGGGTGGTAGGTCTTCAAGCATGTGATTGATGCAGCCCTGCATGACGCACCGGCAGAAAAGCCGCCACTACTCAGAATTCAAGCAGCCCCAACGTGGCGGGTACAGGCGGCGAAGTCTGCCAAAATCATTGTTTTCATTAGATATACCCCACCATAAAGCCTTCATACCCTATAGAAAGCTATATAAAGATATATATAATTGTAATAGTAGATAAACGGGTTTCTTGTACAGACGCAATGCTATCTCCTCATACACTCCCCTACTTCCGGGATCCAGGTCAGCTGCCCGGTCCACTGCCAACGTCGACCGAAATTGAAGCGGCTACTGGAAGTCTTCCTACCATTCGTGATCCTAGATTTGGACGTATCGTGGTCGTTAGAGAGCGTTTCATAGTCAAGTATGGTACCCACATGCTGGAAAATGAGGGCTTTGCACTCCTCTTCCTTGAGGAATATCTGTCTATCCCTACGCCACGACTATACGTAATGTACCGTGAGGATAGAAAGCTCTATCTTGTTATAGAATTCAAATTAGGCAGAGATCTTGATGGCCTTTGGGCTGATCTTTCCGAAAATGAGAAAATCTCGATATTGGGGCAACTGAAGAGTATCTAGGACGCGATGCGCTCTATTATAACCTAAGGATTTTTCGGCAACGTAACCAGGGGTCTATTGAAACATTGCTTCTTTCTTTGGCGGGAAATAGAGCCAAAAATCATCGGACCCTTTGAGAAAGAGGAAGATTTGGACCTAGCTTTCGCCTTATGATCCCAACTGATTTAGGAGAGTAATCAAAGACGTGGGTGGATGTTGGAGTTCTTCGCTCGATATCTTCTAGTGGCGCTCAATGGCTATCGAAGCATATTCACGTATGTAGATCTGCATCGGAAGAATATACTGATAGAAGAGCTTCCGGCAGAAGGCTTTACGGAAAGGCGATTTAGGGTTAGCACGATTGTGGACTGGGAAATGGCAGGTTGGTATCTTAGCTATTGGGAGTATACGTCATGTTTTGTGGACTTTCAATGGATGGAGGATTGGCCTGAGAAAGTCGAGTATATTCTCGACCCTTGGTCGCTGGAAGCTGTAACGTTAAGAATGGTATGGTAGGACTTGGAGTTCTAGAGAAGTTATCAGCATTCGGTCGGCGGGAACAATGCTTGAAGTCATGCTTTGTTCCCAGCACTATCGTGCAAGATCAAGAACGCCTTTCGCTATCAGCATCCAAATGGCACATGTGATCTAGCCTGCATCGAATGCTGGCGCATCTCTGCCAGAGGAGATTGATCAACACCCCCACGCAGGCCGGACCGGGGAACACCACAAGATTGAAATGATACAGTGTTACGTTTCGTGCTCTCTATCGACCAATGTAGCTGAACGAAACTACAACGGCCGTCTGAAGATCAGCGGCCATTTGTCTCAACTCACCACTTGTCTTGCAAGCTATCCTCTAGCCTCCTTGAGAAGGTAGTCACGCATAATGAGAAAGCAGAGGGCTGTGGACGGTAGCTCTCAGGAATATGTAACGCATCGGAGATGATTTTCCATGGGATATACAGTTCTCTGCTTGAAGGGTGAATAGACGGTGGGTTCGATATCGGAAAGAATCTGTCAGGTCATAATGAGGATAATGTGAGGACAAACGAGCGGCTAGTCCCTCCTGTATTCTTAGGTTTTCTTGTCTCGAGTAATATCAAACAACGAGATGTCAATATCCGTTTCCTCGCCGAGAACAAGTTGACTCAGAATCTTGCCAGTGCCCATGCCGAGAGTCAATCCATAAGAGCCATGGCCACAAGACACAAAAACACCGCTCGAGTCCGAACTTGAACCAACATCGTCAGACAAGTCTTCAGCCTTAACGGAGGATATGATAGGGAGTAAAGAGTTTGTTGCTGGCCTGATAGCACGTCCTTTGTCTATGATCTCCAATGTCGCACCGTCTTGACCTACTTCCCCATCTACAAAACTGAGGTGTCGCTTCGCACGGTCAATAAGCTCGTTTATCATGGCGCCATTTGGACTAGCAACTTTGCCTAACGGGGGAAGAGTTGCATTGGAGTCCTTTCTCCCAATCAGCCAGATAGTGCCATCATTGCGCCCCGTAAACTCAAGCTTCTCGTCGACGATGTCGTCTAACGCGATGAATGCGATAGATTTCTTTGTCAAAGGGAATGGGTTGCGGAACAAGATCCAATCGCCGGCATTTAATGCAGACTTGAGGCTGATCGGTGATTTTGGGAATAACTTGTGAAACATAGTAGGGGTCCAGGGCCCAGCGGCGACCACCAGTGACTGACAATACACCCGCTTGAGATTTCCGTCTGTCTCGTACTGAACAGATTGAATTGTGTTGTGCGAAGTCAAGTCCACAGAGGTCACGGTTGAGGAGAGTCTGATATCAACTCCAAGGCGGCGACATTCAGAAGCTAGCCAAGCCCCAACGCCTTTCGGATTCCTGTAAATCTTAGAGTATACACAATATGGAGGTCCAACATCAAGACTCACACCATTGCACTAGGGCTGTGAAGCACTTTATCATCAATCTTCCACGCCGAATCAATTCGAAACCAATCCGGAAGTTCGTTCAAGCCTTGTCCGGTGCCAGGACTGATTTCAAAGAAGGAGTGGTCCCTATAACCTACTGCACTCCTGAACTTTTCGTCCGTTGAAAGTGCCTCCCAGAGCTCAAACGAGTATTGCCCTAGCTCGACTAACCTGTCGCCTTCGGGCTCACGGAACTCATAGTGTAAACAGCCCGTGCATGTCCCCGAAGTTGCCCCAAAAGGGTTTGATGTCGAATCAAGTACAATTATGTTCCTCGATTTGGCCGCATCTCTGGCAGAAAGGGCAAGATTATAAGCGGTAGACAGTCCAATTGAACCCGCTCCGACGATCACAATGGTTTCGTTCGGAGGTTGACGTTGTTCGCCCATATGAGGCCCCAGATATGAGTCGCTAGACTGGATGCGCATCGCCATACCATCGTCGTCAGAATCCTCGTTGTAGAGTTCCTCCGATGGTGCGAACGGCTTGTTCATGGGAGAGACTGCCTGCCGGTCTCGAGGAGGCAGCTGACCTGCCGATGGCAGCACGGAGACAGCGAAGAAAAGACACCTTATGAGGCATGACATCATGGTCGGGTCTGTTTGTGCATCGGAATTCCAAATGGTACCAGTCGAGAATATCGGAACGAGGATGAAAAGGGAACTGATGGGCCCTACGGAAAGCTATGCGCCTCACTTGAGCAAGCGGCACATGGGTTCCAGCAGCTTGAATGGACTTGGGGATTACCGTACTTCAGAGCGAAACTCTAACAGCGCTGATTTACCGCCACAATTAGCAGCGTCTGGAGGCCAACCTACCTATCTCATCCAATCCTAATCTGAAGAATGATTTCCCCCCGGCCGTGTTAGCTGCCTCATCCCTTCAGTCATCACTCATGTTGACCTCAATTTCGATGTAGCAATCTCATCCATCTCAAGGGCGATCATCACTTTCCGGGTATCGTCCTTTAGTTAGTCGGTATGTCTGGAAGCAAAGACGCCCTTGGAGCCGGGGGCGAAGGTGGTGGTCACGCATCGCAGGCGGCCGTGGCTGGTACTCCCGCCACCGAGCGAAGAACAATAAACGGCGCGACAGTCAATGACCAAGATCCTGATGGAAGTGTGCGCCGCGTCCGGAGGATGATCCGAGAGAAGCTGCGAGCTCAGGGGAGACCTGCGCCGGACTCACCACCTCGACCAACCCCCTTGGCCGACTCGCACCCGTTTGCGAGGCAGTTGCTCGATGCCGGTGGGGAGGTAATCTACGAGAAGATACGCTGCTGGATAGTCAAGCACGCCTGCCATACTAAGGTGACCAAGTTTCACCTCCGTGGGATTCGCCCGGCCGAAGTGGAAGCCATGCGCTTCATCGCCGAGCACACCACCATCCCTGTGCCGCGCGTCTACGACGCCGGCGAGAAGCATCTCACCATGGAGTTTATCGAAGGCGAGAGGCTCCGTGAGGCCTGGGACAAGTCTCTCTCTATCGAGGATCAGGCCCTGGTGGTGCAGCAGCTGCGCGACTACATCACCCAGCTGCGCGCTGTCAAGAGCTCCGACGGCATCATCTGCTCTTTCGGCGGTCGCCCTGCCGTCGACTCGCGAATGTTCTACCTCGAGGGCGGGCCTTTTGCCAACGAGGCCGCGTACAATGACTTCCTCGTCTCGGACCTGGTTGGAGACGCGAGTGTGCGGGATATGATTCGCACGCAACTTCGGGGAGACCATGCGATCGTGCTGACACACGGCGACCTGCACGCCATCAACATCATGGTGCGGCCGGGCGTCGGCGTCGTGGCGGTTCTTGACTGGGAGCTGGCGGGGTTCTATCCGGAGTACCTCGAGCTGGTCAGACCGTTTCGAGCTGCCGACTGGACTTGTGGTTACTACAAGGAGCTGCTCAACATCTTCCCGCAGAGGTACGATGCCGAGTGGGTGGTTGAGATGGTGCTTCATCAGTGGAGTCACCACTGAGGGTAATTCCGAGACCAAGGAAGGCTATGCCAGAAGATCTCGTGTGGTGGTACAGAACTTACACTTGGATTAGGCGGCTACGCGGACATTGAATGCATCTTGTCGAGGGACGACAAGGAGCTGACTAGGCCACCAATGAACCTGGGACCCAGCTGAAGCCTGTTCTACGTAATCAATCTTTGAGGGACATTCTCGGAAAGGTTGAAGCAAACGCGCGGGGTTGCGAGCTGCCCTCTTTGGCTGGCGACAAGCAGCCAAGTGCGAAGCGATTCTTCGAGCAGCGTACAACGCATCCAGAGAGATCCAAGAGAACGAACCCAAAGCGTAAGAAGATGTTGACCATCCTCCACCGCAAACACAGCATCGAGCATAGGACAGAGTAGACAGTGTCTAAGGACAAGGATGAACCCCTCTTGCTACTATCCCGACATACTTCTAGGATTGTTGTCATAAAATACTGGATGGAACCTCTGCTATCGTAAACTAAGCCAGCTAAACAACCTAAAAAAATAACACTACGGGCTATCATACCTACGCTAGATCTGACCATATAGTGGCGTCTGTCTGATAGATCGTCAAAGCAAAGCATAGGCGAGATAGCCCTAATATCTAGGCTTGATTGCAAATATTTACAGTTAAAGAGAAAAGAAGAAGCTAGATAGATAAAAGCCTTAAGCCTCCAACGTTCAAGATATAGGATATTATCTCACATTCAAATCGGTATGTTAGAGACAACTATTCTAGCATATAGTATTTCACAAACAGCCTTACACCATACTGATTACATAAAGTCAATTGGCCCCCCACCCGTCTAGGTAGGTCGTACCCATGGGATCGGCTGCCGTTGCCATTGCATCGTCCGGGAGCCGGGGCTCGCCTGGTCCACAACAGGCTGAGCCGGTCTTTTCAGCTTCCAGGTCTCCTCCAAACCAATCAATTTGACCAGGGGAAATGTTGTCTAAATAGGCAATTTTGAGGGAATAGAGAAGATACACGAGCGCCGTGTCCCCTCAGCTCGAAATGCCTAGCCTAAACATTAACGTTAGTGGGCATTGATTCAAATCAACACCTTAGTGAGGCTGAGCTGTTTAGCGTGCCCCGTACCTTGGCCGTACCTGGGTAGGGGCCCTTGGGTCCTGCAGCGAAGCGCTCCCAAAAATAGGTCGTATCCAGGGGATCGGCTGCCGTTGCTAGGTATTGCATCGTCGGGGCCGGCCTCGCCTGGTTCAAAACAGGCTGAGCTGGTCTTTTCAGCTTCAAGATCCCCCCAAATCACTCAATTCAACCAGGTCAATTGATTCCATTGTTGGAACAACTCCAGCTTGTTTTTGCATCGTTCATATCGCCAAGTCACTCGTTTACGCCAAAAGCTCTTTGTCCTCCGTGCGGCAAATCGTTTGTCGCCCGCCTAACAAGGAACAAGCAACCAGCTACATCAGACGAGCGACCTACCAACCTTCCTCCTTCCACCTCGCCCATAACCCATTCGACAAGAACTCCCGAGCATCACAATGACAGTGGTCGAAGCTGGCCTCTTCGGCGACGACCTCGTTGCCCCTCATGTGGCTTCTGTACTTCCAGAGGGCTACAAGGTGCGCGCATTACGGCGATCCGACTACAACTCAGGCTACCTCGACTGCCTCCGCGTCCTGACCACCGTAGGCGAGATCAGCGAGGCACAGTTCCAGGAGAGATACGACTGGATATCGAGGCAGGATGGTGGCTACTACATCCTCGTCATTGAGGACGCCAGCGGCACCAAGGTCGTGGGCACTGGCGCCCTGATTGTCGAGCGCAAATTGTACGTTTACCAATCTCAAACCTTTGCACGCAGGAGGGGATGAGGTCCTTCCTGAGCAGTGAGCGATTGCTGACAATGCGTTCTCACAGCATCCACAATCTCGGCCTTGTCGGCCACATCGAAGATATCGCCGTCGCCAAGGACCAGCAAGGAAAGAAGCTGGGCCTGCGCATCATCCAGGCTCTCGACTACATTGCCGAGCAGGTCGGATGCTACAAGACGATCCTGGACTGCAGCGAGGCGAACGAGGGCTTCTACGTCAAGTGCGGCTTCCGGAGGGCCGGTCTTGAGATGGCACACTATTATGAGGGAGACAAGAGTAAATCCCACTGAAACCAAGAGTGTACACTATGCGGATGTCGCGACACAGACTGATACGAGGTCTTGTACAGAACAAAAGCTATAATGCTTGAAAGGAAGGCGCACAGGATATAGGGCATTGGGATTATTTTTGGGATGATATACGCTGCATGGATGTGTTAGGAACGAGTATCTAGAGAAGCACTTTCGCAAGCTATGCTTCATGGTGCCTATAACGGAGTACTTTCTCCGTATGCGCAGAACAAACAAAAGCAAACATATATGTTAGAGAGCGGTTGTAATATCATGTTCAGCATCGAGGACACTACAAATCAGAACTCTGGTCGTGAAGTTCGAGTTTCGCCTTATGCATGCCCTCCCACTATCATGGGGCTTCGGCTTCCGGGACGGTCTCCGAATATGATGTGAGACCAGCAGAACCTTGAGCATGCATCTACATGGCAGGTATTCTGGCTGGACTTTCACCTCCTGTATCGCAGAGCTCCGTCTGACTGATAACAGGCAATTGCTAGGGTTCTGGTTGAAGCGCACGTCAGATAGCCAACGTAGACCGCGTCAACTCTGACCAAAGCCTCCAACCCGTAGAGATGAGCTCAGAACTTACATTTCTATTGCTGACTCTATAAAAACCAACTATCCAATGGCATGCAACACAACAGCTTCTGAATCAACGCCTAATATGCAAACTGTCACCTCTGTCGTCAGGGGCGTCCCTGGAGCCCCATCGGACGTCCTCGTTGCAGACCAATGCAGACATGCAAGGCTTACATGTCTTATACCTGAGTAACTCATGCACAAGTATATAAATCTCCCCGTGGTTCCTTTCCCGCGTCTGAAGTGGGAGGAGGCGCCTTGATCAACGGCGGCATGCCAATCTGCGATCCCCCGCATAACCACCCTCTCCGGATTCCCCCAAATTTGAACATCGGCGCTCCGGAGAGCCCCCCCTTGCTTAGCAAACGGCAATCGAATCATACTGTCTTTCGAATATTGGATTAGTCCTCATATATAAGAAGTTGGCTTCCGGACAATTGAAATGGGTTTCGAGGAGAATTTCGAGGCTTCTGTACTGAGGCTACGCATTGCTCTGCTCCGTTCACAGTGAGAACGACTTACACGCCCCTGACCGGCATATTGCCTTGGCTTGCTACAAATCTAATTCGTACATCTTCAGAGTTCGCAACAAAGCAGTTCCAGACGACTCCCCGCGTTTATTAGTGCGCCGGCAGAGACATCAGGTTGTTCGAAGTGGTTCGCAGACTGGCTCACTTCCCCGATTTACAAAACACAAGGTCGTCCGCGTAGCCTCCTAAGAAGCCGTTCACGATGTCGCCGCACAAGATCTTCGACGAGCCCAAGGAGAGGCGGAGCTGGCTGATGGGGACGGAAGCGTTTGAGCGCCGGATGCCGCATCATGATGGCATCAAGGCACTATGGGAGACCAAGTGGAAATTCCCCGTGAGTGAAACCTGTATTATGAGCTTTATGGCCATATACTTTCTCTATAGATCAATGACACGAATTTATATTAACACATATCTTTCTTCATGCAGTGTACAAAAAGCGTTTACCCATTCCACGATGGGAAATATGAGGACTTTGAGCCTATCTTCAAGCACTTGATCGAAGTAGGAGCCATCCCTTGCCCCTGAGAGCCACGTAGGGCACTGACCGATGAACGCTCCAGAACGAAATCAATGATGGCACATCAATTGAGTATACACAAGCATTCTTTCCCATCGCCGAAGAGCTCACTTCAAAGGGCGACGAGGCCATGCAGGCAGGCGATTCGACAACAGCCTCAGATTTGTATCTGCGCGCCTGCACCGTGTACCGCATTGCCCGTTTCCCATACATCACCGCCTATCCGGAGATCAGCTGCCCGGTCAAGTGGCGGGCATGGGAGGCCCAGAAGGAGGTGTACATGAAGGCCGGCCGCTCATGGGCCGAGCCCGTCGAGGAGGTCATTGTGCCGCATATCCATCGCGCAGGTCGCGATCGCGAGTCGATCCCCGTGTACGTCCGCGTGCCCGCCGCCACTGCCGAGAACGGCACACCGTGTCCCGTTGTGGTTCTCATGACGGGGCTGGATGGCTATCGTCCGGACAACACCGTGCGGTGCAACGAGTTCTTGGATCGTGGCTGGGGCAGCGTAGTCGTTGAGATTCCCGGCACGGCAGACTGCCCTGCGGATTCGGCGGATCCAGAGAGCCCCGACCGACTTTGGAGTAGCCTGTTGGACTGGATGCAGCATATTGGGATTTTCGACATGACCCATGTGATGGTTTGGGGTTTGAGCTCGGGAGGATACTATGCCATCCGTATTGCGCACACGCATAAGGAGAGGCTGATCGGATCGATTGCTCAGGGGGCAGGATGCCATCACTTCTTTGATCCAGAATGGTTGGACTTTGCCGATGGCCATGAGTATCCGTTCCAGTGAGTCCTGGATTGTCCCAACTCACTCGCCGGCGATGCTGACGCTTTTCAGACTGACTCCGGCTATGGCCATGAAGCATGGATATGACTCTGTCGAGGATTATAAGGACGGCGTGCAGAAGAAGTTCTCACTTCTTGAGACAGGGGTCATCCAGAAGCCGTCCTGCAGGCTTCTGCTCATCAATGTAAGCAATTTGGTATATCTCATGGATAAATTCACCTTGCTGATCAGACTAGGGGACTCTTGACGGTCTCATGCCTATCGAGGACTCAATGATGCTGTTCGAGTATGGTACACCAAAGGAAGCTCGCTTTTTCAGCGGCGCTCTTCACATGGGATATCCGATGGCAAACTCATCCGTCTATCCATGGATGGAACAAGTGATGTCGTCTGTATGAGCATTAAATAGTCATATTTTAGTCTTCAAGTCTAACTTTTGGCCCCGCAAGGATTGAATCAGTTTTGAGAAATAACATGACAAGAGTCAATTGCCAAAGCTTTCGGTGACTTACCAATGATACACTATCCTACTTTTCACGCATGTCCCTTTACCTTCCCATCCATCCGCCGTCTACCACCATGACATGCCCGCTCACGTACGCACTCGCCTTACTCGCCAGAAACACCGTCGGCCCCTTGAAGTCTTCCGGCGTGCCCCATCTCCCAGCGGGGATGCGCTCGCTTATACTGGCCAGCCGCTTGGGGTCGTTCAGGAGAGCCGTGTTCATCTCGGTCTCAATGTAGCCAGGAGCAATGGCATTCACTGTAATGCCTTTGGAGGTCCACTCGTTCGCGAAGCTCTTGGTGATCTGAGCTACGGCGCCCTTGGAAGCTGCGTATGCCGGTACGGTGAATCCGCCCTGGAAGGAGAGCAGCGAGGCGTAGTTGATGATGCTTCCTTTCCTGCCGGTCACGGGTGAGGGCTCTAGGTTCAGCATGTGTGCGCCTACGTCGCGGCAGATGCTGAATACGGAGTTCAGGTTGACTTGTATGACCTATGCTTCGGTTGAGCTTGGGGTTTTCCAACATGGTAACTGGGAGATCGACAAACCTCATTGAAGTCGCTATCGGGGAACTTTTCAGAAGGATGCCTCCTCTGGACGCCTGCGCAATTCACTAATACGCGGATCTGATGGCCATCGGCAAGCACCTTCGGCACCAACTTGGCGACATCCTCTTGCGAGCTCAGATCAGCTGTGTAGATGGTCGCCTTCCTCCCTAGGGCTTCTACCGCTTTGAGTGTGGCAGTATTTGATGTGTCTCGCTGCATGCCCTGTCAGCATTATCTGGTCAAACAATTGATACATTGCGTTCTATACCTGAACCAAGAGAAGGTCTGCACCGGCTTCGGCCAATCCAATGGCAATTGCTTGCCCAATGCCCCTTGTGCCACCTGTGAGGAGGACGGATTGGCCTTCGAGGGAGAAGGCGGGCGAAGCCATGTTTTTGGTATTACTTGTAGATTGGAGTCTGGAGATGAACGGTCCGGCTCAGAACGTATAAATGTGAGCTATCTTGCAGCGAGGATTAAACCCCGTAATATCAAATTGTCTCCAGACTATCACGATTTTCAAGATACCGTTGGGCAAAACTCGGGCGCGATTTGGGAGAGAGCCGAAGACGGACTAGATGCCGTCCCCCGTATAGAGATAGTTCCAATTTGGGCGGGAATCGGCGAGAGTGACCCGGAAGCTGGAGCAGTGGGGGGGCCACACAGCACGCTTCGGCTTCTTCTTTCAGCCTGGAAGTGGGGGTTTACAGCGTCATTGGGAACGGAAAAGCCTTCAATGCATGCCGAACTGGCTTCTTTACTTCACCTTTTGACCGGATCGTGTGAAAGCTTTGCAGTGGCAAAGGTGGCAAAATATAGAGCTTGACTCCCATTGCGGTGTCAATTAGACTCTTCGTATGCCACAAGAGTCGAATTCAATGTCACAAAACAAAAGAATGCGCAGCAAGTAAAACAAATAGCCGGCTCCGATGTAAGACCACTGGAGCACCCCACAGTTTGGAGTGGAGTGGACCGTGTGATCTTGACTCGGCCCCGTGGACGCCTCCTAACCGGGGGAGTCGTGGAGCTCTAGTCGACATCGGAGCTTCATTCTGAATCGATTGGATGTCACACGTATCTCCTCGCGCCAATTGGTGAAGGCGAGGTTTGGGCTTCAAGACACTACTTTTCATGTGCATTGCATTCCAAGTCTTTCACCACTAACACGGAATATCGCATTCCCCCCCCCCCAGCAGAGTTTTGATCTTGGGAAGACCTTCTCGCACTTACCTAACTTTCTATTCCTTACACAATCATCCACAATGGCTAGCACGAGTGTGAGAGCCTCAGTGCTCTATGGAGCCCGGGACTTGCGCGTTGTAAGTTGCTAAACCACCTAAGTTAGTGTCAGCTTTCAAGTTTGTCTAACGACGTGAACAGGAGGAACGGTCACTACCGCCTCTAGCAGCTAGCGAGGTGGAAGTTGCAGTGAAAGCCACCGGACTGTGTGGCTCAGACCTACATTACTTCAATCACTATCGCAATGGAGACATTCTTGTCCGGGAACCTATGACGCTAGGTCATGAGTCTGCAGGTGTAGTCACGGCGGTAGGCTCCGGGGTAACGTCCCTGAAAGAGGGCGATAAAGTCGCTCTTGAAGTCGGCTTGCCTTGTGGAGACTGCGCACTATGTCAGGAGGGCAGGTATAATATCTGCAAGGAGATGAAGTTCAGGAGTTCTGCAAAGGCATATCCTCATGCTCAAGGCACACTTCAAGATCGGATCATCCACCCAGCGAAATGGTGTCACAAGTATGTCCCAATTTCTGAAAACAATATAAGGTGTTGTACTAACCCGAAGATGAGATTGCCTGACAATGTGTCACTCGAATACGGAGCTCTAGTCGAACCCCTTTCCGTCGCCATGCACGCGGCTGACAGAGCTAAGCTGCCGGATGGGTCAACCGTGCTAGTATTCGGAGCTGGGGCTGTTGGTCTACTGACTGCAGCAATCAGCAAAGTACGAAAAGCAAAGACTGTTGTTATTGCAGACATCAACCAAGACCGCGTCGACTTTGCTGTGGCGAATGGGTTTGCAGACGCCTCGGTTGTAGTCCCCATGAAACGGCCATCCACTATCGAGGAAAAGCTAGAATTCGCCAAAGAAGTAGCCGAACTCGTGAAGACAGCCAAGGTAAATGGTCAACCTGTCGGCGAGGTGACCGCGACATACGAGTGCACTGGAGTTGAATCATGCATGCAGGCTTCGATATATGTAAGTTGTAGCTCGATCGTATAGAAGTAGCTGCTGACAATCACAGGCGACGGGACCCGGAGGGAAAATCATGATCATTGGAATGGGTACCCCCATTCAAACATTGCCTGTGTCGGCCGCTGCGCTCAGGGAGGTGGATCTCGTCGGTGTCTTCAGATATGCAAACACATATCGAGAAGTGATTGACCTGTTGTCGAGCAAGAACCCACTACTGCCACCTGTTGAGAAGCTCATCACACAGCGGTATGAGGGATTGGATAACATACCGCAAGCTTTTGATATGGCTGCGAAGGTGAAAGATGATAAAGGCAATCTAGTTTTGAAGGTTATGGTGAACATGTAGGAATTACTCAACGCCAAGAGGGCCAAGTCACAAACGTGGTGGTAGATTTACAACCTGAATAGGAAAAGTTTGCATTTTCTATAGGCCGTTATATGATATGTGGCGATAGAATTGATGATTTGTCCAGGAGCTTTTCTATTGTGCTTTTACTAACAAGGTCTATGTCTATATCCGGGAAACGCGATGAGGACTACTTGGTAGTCATGACTTGTCCGGGAAACCAAAGTCAATGCCAAATGGCGGGTAGACGAAGCGCATCAGCTTGCCCTCCTTTGTCAACTTATCTGAGTAGTCGTTGAGTAGCTTCATATCCTCATCGTCCAGCTTGACTATCTCGAAGTTCTCCTTGATTCTCTCTGGCGTAACAGACTTGGCCAGCACAGTGCTACCTCGAGCAACTTGGCAAATTTTAGTAAACACGAGCTTAATATGAGGCAAAGGGGCATACGGACCGTGATAGCTAAGAAGAACAGTTGTCGGCTTGGTGTTGTGCTTTTGGGAGATCTTGGTAACGGCGTCCACTTTCGTGAGAGGGCTGCCTGTGCTGCCAAGAGGGCTATAAGCCATGATGTGAATACCCTTCTCGTTGCAAAGATCAACGATCTCCTGCTGGGGTAGGGCAGGATGGTTCTCAATCTGGTTCACGGCGGGAAGCACCTTGGCAACCGGAATGAGCTGCTCAAGGTATCTCTTGCTGTACTATGGCTGGTTTAGCAGGATCTCTTCGAATAGTAGAGGGCGTGGTCCGGCTTACGTTAGAAACACCAATAGCCTTTGTCTTGCCGGTCTCCAAGACGGCTTCCATCTGTTTCCAGGTGTCCACATGGTTGTGACTCCGGATCATGTCTCGCGAACCATCGGGGAGCTTAGGAAATTTGTCATCGTTACCTATTAACACTGTCAATTTCAAAACTTTCACATTCTGCATGAAGGGCAAGCATTTCATTACCCTCAGGGTTCGCCAAAACCGGCCAGTGCTGAACGATGTAAGTATATGCATTGAAAACCTCACGAGTTGCCCACTTACCACAAGAAGAAGGTCGACATAGTCCAGCCCGAGGTTCTTCAGACTCTTTTCCAGACCCAGCTCCACACGAGTTGTGTAGGTAGCCCAGATCTTGGTGACGACAAAGATATCCTCACGCTTGATCCCAGACTCGAAAGCCTCCTTCAGGCCTTGGCCGACCTCCTCCTCATTGCCGTAGCAATAAGCGCAGTCAACCAGCTTATAGCCAATCTTCAGAGCGTAAGCTACTCCGGCCTTGACCTTGCCCGGCTCGCCCTGCCACGTGCCTGGTAGAATGTCAGAAGCTTATGCTGCGCGCAGAATCCTTCCATGAAGGGGAATGACATATACATAGAGGGGCACATTAGGGGGTCCTGTTACTTACCGTAGCCTATGGCGGGCATCTCCTGGCCGGAGTTCAATTTGAATGTTTGGCTCGTCATAATTACTTTATTGAACTGGAAACTGGAGGGCACAGTCTTGCTAGGTGTATGCCTCACAACAGTAGCTTGGTCCTGTTCTCAAACAACCTTTTCACAACAATGTGTCCAGCTGTGTGTCGTCTTGATCAAATTAGGCAAAATTGACCTCCACTAGGTTCGGTAGAAGAGGCTGCTGGACTTCTATGCAAGAGCACACGGGAGTGATGTAACTCGGAGGGCAACCGGATAAAATACGGACGAGATCTCGGTCTATGATAGGACTCAACAGCAACACCACAATCCCCTTCCCCTTATAAAGGGCCTATCCTCTCCTCTTGTAGTCCCCCCCACGGCATGATAGCCTCCCCCTACCAACGGAAAAGCGCCCTCCCTCAAGGTGTCGGACAGCAGAGCCGAGACTTGGGCCGGGTTATCGGGCGGCTTCGTGGGGCGGGGTGGCAGTCGGTTTGGTTTGTGGGAAAAACACCCCGCACCAGGCGCCAAGTCAGCGTCTTTAGTCTGCTAGTTGGAGGCTCGGTGCGTCATTCGACCGACAGATCTTCCGTCTTCGCAGCAGTGGATACATTACAAGAGCTGTTTTGTGTCAAAGAATGGGGCCTATTGTGATCAAAAGAGTTCTAGACCTGGCATTTCGAGGCATGTGAAGTGCCATAGGGGTCTGGCAGGGGCTGCGAATGAGCAAATGCCGGCCATGTGACGTAGTGCCGTTGATATTTTAATAGTAGATATCTCTCTATTCCGTACCGGAAGAGCAAATTACGAAAGGACGACGCTGTGAGTTCTCTATGCTCAAGTCTGTGCGCGCGCGTATGATAATGTTGGTATTGTTACAAAAGCCCCCCAAACTCCTCACCTTGCGTGCTGCCTTTCTCTAGCCTGCGACCAAGACCCATAATCTAGAAACATCGTCAGCTTTGAGGCTTTGTCCTGCGTTGAATCGAAGACTTACAAGAAGAAGATCATTAGCACTCCAAACATCTTGGCTATTAACCAGCGATTGCTTGATACGCGACTCCAATACTTTAGCAGTTCCCTTTGTGCGCCTTGCACGTTGTCCACAACATCTCTGTAAAGCCAAGGTTAGTAAGGTGATTTCTATGAGCAGAACTCCAAAAATCACGTACTCGGTGTTTGCGTCTATCCGCTCGATTTGCTCCCGTTGTTCTGACACCATAGACGCCAACTGGCCGAAGATGCTTCCGAGTTCGCCGATTGTCCTCTCGATCGCCTCGATCGCCTCGCCTCGCTGCTGAATATACGAGTTCTGTGGTTGAGCCTCCTCCATCATCAAAAGTTGTTGATCGCCAACAACTGGGTTCAGAGAAAGAGTATCCCCGCCGGGTGAGGGAGTCCCTCGAGCTGGTGTACCATATAGAGGTGACGCGGACTGTTGTATTTGCGGCTGGACGTGTTGTGATACGGAGGAAACGAAGTTCTCTGTCCTGGATCTTGAGGCTTGGATGTTCTTGGTCCTCACTTCGAGTACATCCTTGAAATGCGCCGAGACATCTGTGAGCTTCCCTGTGAATCAATCTCGTCAGCGTTGGCCAAAGTGCTTTACCAATGCCTCCAATTACCTTGTAGCAGAAATACAACATTCTTGTTGTGCTCTCCTTCCTGATCCGCCTTCGGGTGTTGTTGCCGCGTCAGAACCTGGAGACCGGAAATCTGCTGATTGAGAGATGATAGATCTTGCTTGATGATGAACGTAAGCTCGTTGATCTCGACGCCGTGCATGTCATCGAACAGGGTCTTTCGTTTCGCGACTACCATATGTCAGCCCATCCCATCCTCTCCGGAAATCGTCGCCTCCTCCAGCAGTCACTACTCACGCTGTGCCAGCTTCTCCAGCTTCGCCATGGTCGCGGATATGCCTCGCCCGATCTCAGCCGCTTTCCTCGCGAACTCGGAGCGCCGCGGCCTGGCATCCCCGTTCGCCGCTGCCTTTTCTGAGTCTGAGAGAAGCGATCGCCTCTGTGACCCGACTTTCTGTGATGCTTGCCGCCGCTGCGCCGCCTGGAGGACGGACTTGAACTCGGCGGTCCGGTCTTGAATGCTCGCGACAGCCATCGTGGTGGCTGTTTGATGATGATTAAAATGTACAAGGCGAGAAAGAAATGGCGCAAAGAGTGCGTCTACGAAACAATGCTGAGTAGTGATATCGAGCAACCAGCACAGCTGGTTCGGGTGTTCTGCTGTTCCCTGGCCTTTGCGCGTCGTCGATGTTCGGGAGTTGCGGTTCGAGAAATGGGGGATAGGACGCGTGGGAAGACGGATTCGGAGATGATTCTCGGCGGGACTGCAAGTCGCAGGATGATATTAAAACAGGCACTCGAGTCGCATGTATGTGTGTAATATTACTGTACAGGAGAGGCGGGCCGCTCTCGATGTCAAGAGAAGAAGAAAGATGGTATCGTGAAGTGCAGTCCCGTGGCGATTTGTTCTAGAGTAGAGCCCCGTACCGAAATACGTGGTTTTTTGTTTCAGCGCTGCGCAGAGCGCAATCCCCCCTACGAAAGTTTATGCCTGAGGCATCAAACTTACCACTACGTAATTACGGAGTCCCGGAGTCTATTTCTACGCGATCATCTCGCAACAAAGAACCGGGAAAGCAGGATATTGGCTTCTCAAGTCTGCTTCTAGGTAGAGGTTAAACAGATAATTGTTCTGTTGCTTCGGCGGCCTTATGTGGATATGAGCGCTGAGGTTTTCTGCTTTTGGGGAGATACCTGGCTCTTCTATTTGTTGACAATGCATTGCACCCCTGATAAGGACCCGGATGACACAGGCTCATTTCACATGGGGTAAGACTTGACCCAAGACACTTCAGTCCCGCGGTCCGTGAAGAACCTAGGTATCTCAAAGAGCACAATGACCACAATTACACAGTGACAAGCTTTTGCGCCAGCACAAATTTGTGTTGATATCGAGTATTACATGTTCGCTTCTTAAGATGCACCACCGTTTGTCATACTAACCGAGGGAGTTCTAATTTGAGAACAATGGGGGTCTTTTCCCTGCGTTTGCTAACTTTCCTTCCAGTCCGGGCGGATCTACACTACTACGGCAAAGGCGACATAAGCTGGATGTCCCGCGTCAATGAGTGGCTGAGCTCACAGCGATCTGCAGACCCATCCAAGTGGCTCGCTAATTACCAGCACTTGGCTTTTCTTCAGTGCGTGCAGAATACTGGTATTCGTAGACTGTAGACTAGAGACTGGCGAGCGAGCAGACAGTGCCATTGTCGTACGGTGAAACTGCGCTGTGGCTGGGTCTGTATCTTCGGTAGGACCCTTCAAAGTTCAGCTAAGACATATCAAGCCTTGTTTCGCCATGTTCGTAACCAATCACTTCAGAAGCAGGATGAATTCAGTATCCTGAGTTTCCAGCCTGATTGTCAGTGGAGTCAACTAATCCCAGGGGTTATCCATCTGTAAGTTTTAGCTCTGAGGCATCAAGGACAAAAGGTAGCATTTCAAGGAACATCTACGTTGTGGGTCAGGCCTCAAGCTATTCTAAGTTTCTGATCTTCCATTTTTCTTTAGGACTAAGCGAAGAGCACGGTCTTCAAGGACACAGGAGGTCTGCATCAGTATGTGAATGACAGCGAGTAAGAGCCTTGTGGCAAGCACAGACATCCTGGGAGCTTCTGTTGTCTGTTCTCAATGTCTGTGAGCGTCATCGTGTGAGATGTGATGCATGATGACCATCCCGCATCCGCACGGCCCATTCAGCCTGAGCAAATGGGGTTGCTTGATCTTCCCGCAAGATCTGATGTGAACTGCAGCCTCTGACATCAAAGCTGTGTTTAGAATAATGGATGACTGGGGTATCTTCATCTTCTGGGAAGACGCTCCCACAAATCGATTAGAAGAGTTGAGACGGACTAGGCATGCATGGGTAGCCGTAAAGAAACAAACCAATCGGTTGAGATGTTGATGTCTAAGTTCGCTGGACATGGGGAGGGAGGCTGAGAAGCCTCATCCCATCAATTAGTAAAATCCTTCCGGCTCGAACTCTGCTAAGCATCGTGATATTGGTGGTGGCTCAAGGATCTGGTGGAACAACGAAGGAATGGAGCGATCAAGCTGAAGCACTTGACTTGCAACCTACCTAGTCAAGTAGTCAAGCCAGCCGAAGCTGAAGCTGAAGCTGTATCGAAGTTCATGATAACTACATGAAGCGAACTTCACTGCATCTGCTGGTCAATGCAGAGCCCCCTTTACATGTTGTTGACCCGCAGGATCATCTTAGTTGCTGACAGCAGTGTGCTGGTGTCATAGTCACTAACTGGCATTGCCATCTTCAAGTCTAGCCATGTAGAGATCGTGCGGTTCTCTTCAGATGGTCGCACGAAGCCAAACACGGCCCCCAAGCCACTGTCTGTCTGCAAGCCTAAATTAGCTACGGCGCCCCACGGCCGGCGGCGGCGGCGGATTCCTTCTCATTCCCAGGCCTGGGCAGCGAAGGAGGGTGAGCGAGTGAATGACAGGCTTGGTTTAGTTTAGGTTGAGATGCAATACCTAGGTAGGATGCAGGTGGGATCACCAGCAAGCAAGCCCTTGGAGTACGGCATCCGGTACCTAGACAGCCAGTCACAATTAAATGCGGTCAGCGGAAATTTGCGTAATACTTCTTCTCTTCCAGGTAATTAATGCTCCTCATCTCTTCCTGCCAACTTGCATCATCATCAGTAGCATTATCATCACTACTATTGCGCTTTGCGATCGACATTCTTCAACACTCGACTCGAAGCTAGCAAGCCAACAAACAAAAGGAGACCGAGTCGCCGAGTAAGACAAGCCAGACAAGACACTGTGGCGGCGGTGGATCTTCAGCGGCGTTGCCCTGCCTCCGACCTGACATACCTGAACATACCTAACGCTCCCCTAACGGTCGCTCGAGGGTCGCTGCGCATTCGATAGCGAGCGTCTGTGACTCCACTTTTGAGCGACTCGCCG